AACTGCCTTTTTCCTATTAGGATCGTGGATAATCTTAAAGACACCACTCACTCAAATGAGTGCACAAAAATTTGCTCTCGCAATAGCTTCCACATTTTCAGGCTCCACCTCAAAGATCTATCTAGAGGTGCCCGGTCCCGCAGCACTTTGCAGAACCCTCCACCCCATAGACTTCAACCCTGGGTTTAGTCTCTAAGTCTACGATGCCACAAAAAGGTGCTCTGATCAGAGAATTGCTCTCTGGTCTTAAAGGCTACCTTCACAGGCTTGGGTGGCTCATAAGCACTTAAAACTTTAAGCATGAGGTTGCCCAAGGCCCTGTCATTAAAGTGGCCTCTAATCCACCCTACCATGTACTCGTTACACTGCAATACTAACGCTCCTCTTTGGAGGTGGTTGCTGTAGATTTCAGGCATTTTTTTGCCACCAGGAATGGCATCAGTCTGCGCTAAGATCTCCATAAGGATTTTGTTTGAGTCTTCCAGAGAAAGCTTGTCCGAAGGAAAGTCCTCCCGGACTATAGCAATCTTGGTCGACTTAGCAGCACAAGCAAAAGAGACACCGGATTGGAGGCTCCCAGTTGGATCCCTCTCTCCAGCTCGTCTATCCCCACTAGGGGGAACCACTCCGCTGAATTGGGCTTTCCTCCCAGGAACAACATCTTCCCTGGGCTTCTTTTCTTTTTGGGTTGGCACATTGTGTGAGGGAGTTGCATCAGAAGACCTAGGTCTCTTAGCTCCGCCACTCGCCTCAAAGGCCCTCATTTTCCGTAACTTCTTTTTCCGGCTCTTGGACAATCCAGTGGCGCCAGACACACTGTCCCCTGAGTGCCTCTGGTGACCAGAGACTCCTACAGAGGAAGGACCTGTGCCTTTGGATGCCTCACCAGCTTTCGAAGTAGACTGCAAAGCAGCGATATTAGCACTGCTGGGCTCACCCGAGGACTTACCATGTGCTACTGGAGACTGTAAAGCACTTTTCAAACAGGAACCTCTGCCTAATTCCTGAAGGCATCCCTTGTTAACCGGCGTGACGGATGATGCCGTATCCAAAGCTTTACTATCGCTCATCATGTTGGTTGCCTGCCATTTAGTTACCCAGTGAGGGGTATGCAGGGGGCACCACGTGGAGGTGGCAGGCATTACTCCCCTGGGGGTGGACCAAATAATGAAAATACTTCTATACTAACTCATTTTTTGATATTTCTCACTAAATATTTAGAAAACTACTTTAAAACTTTAGAAGTATTTAAGCCATGCAATTTTCTCCTACATATCAATAAAGTTTAAAGCTTTCAGAGGTTTGAAGAAGTGGCAATAAATTACAAAGGAAAAGAATGTTTTTGAATAACCTATGTCAAAAAATGCAGAGAACTTGTAAATTATGTTGATTTTACATAAAAAGAAATCCAAAATTTCGTAAACCTGGCTTAAAAATTCATGAAGATATGGACATTTTTGCAAAGGAACTAATTGATGTTCTTACTATAATGCAGAAATATTCAATAAAATTCGAGAAAAATTTTTAGAGTAATTTTTTATTAATAATAAAAATATTTTAAAATTTAACAAAATTCATTAAAAGTTGCACAAGTAATTTAAGTACTAATTATTTAAAGTACTTAAAACAAGTAATTAAAGTAATATTTTCATACTGCTCATGTATGGAAAGTATTTAAAAAAAATTTGTTCTTAGTTTTGTTTTGAATTGTATTAGATAACTTATGTAAAAAGTCAGATTTGAATATCTTAAAAATTTAAAGTTTTTTTACAATTTTCTAAGCAGTTTTTTTGTTCTTTTATTTGGAAAGAGAGCTTAAAATGGTAAGAGATTTTTCATAAATTTAATTTTGTACCATTAAACAAGATTTATGAAGAATGACCGGCATTATATCAGACCACACTCTATTAGATCATGTTTTATGTCACATGTTTCATTTCCTAATACCATTTTGTTGTCTGTTCCATCATTTAAGGTAATATTATGTGTTACGAATTTATTTTTTTTAGTGATATAAAATGAAAATTGAGGAAAACCCTTTATCATTTACAGCTTTCAATAAGAAAGTACAAAAGCTACTTAGAAATTTGCTAGAAACTTGTTACATTTTCAAGATATTCAAAGTTGCCAAATATGATTCTAAACAAAATTATGGAGAAATTTTTTTTTTTTAAATGTTTTCTGTGCATGCACAGTAAGAAAGGAATACCTTAATTACTCATATCTTGTGCAATTTTTTTCAAATTTTAAAATGATATTTTTATAATTAATTGAAAATTGTCCAATTTTACTGAATATTTGGAATAGCGTGTTCAAGAACATTCTTTTTTATTTGTAATTTATTGCCTGTCCCTCAAGCCTCTAAAAGCTTTACATTTTATTAATATCTATGAGAAATTGTATGACTTAAACACTTCTAAAGTTTAAAACAATTTTCTTAGTATTTCTTGAGAATTATATATATATATATATATAAAAATGATTGAAATGATTAAAAAAATTATCATTTTGTCAAATCCCTAAATATACTTTACAACTTTTAATAATTTATGAAAAACATTTTGTCTTTTACATATGAAAAGGCAATCCATTGAATCAAAATTTTATCTAAACTTTTTATTTTCTCAATTTTTCATTTCATATCTTGTAAATGCTTTACTAAAATTTTTTCATTCCTTTTACACACACATATATGTAACATAAGAAGCTTCTATTAATCTTTTTATGTTAGATTCTTCGCTATAGAGCAACTCCTATCTTATTACTAATTATTTATTCAAGTCAAAATGCTTTCTCACACTTTTAAAAGCCACATCCTGTTTCTAAATCTATTTTTGGCTGAAGTATGCCTACAAGACATTTCTCCCTTTAAATTTCGTGAGAATCATTCGAACTATTTCTTAAACCAATAGTAATCCCTGGGATTTCCCCTCAAGTATAACAAAGTAGAGTTAAATTCTTTTGCTACTTTCCCTAGGATAAAAACTTAAGCACACAGTTTTGGAGTGCGAATTTGAGCTCTGCCTTTGATAGAAAATGTCTTGAATATATTATGTGAAGCTTATAAAATATTTTTTGCCTTCCAACTGCTATCTGCGTGGCCTAACAACACTCACCATGACTGCTACCCTTTCAAGCGTTGCAGGATATTTTTGCAGTTGGTTTGGTACTTTTTTTTCACTGGTTCCATTTTAAAAATGCTTTTTTCAAATAAGTAAAAAATATATAAATAAAAAAGGAAAGAAGAAAACAATCGAATGAAGTTTTGGGAGATGCCGGCGTTGCTCGTGAAACAGACAAAAAATTAAAAGAAGAGAATTTCGGGACTTTCCTCCTTAATGGGTCCAGATGCTGCCTCTACCGTTGTACCGGAATTGCTGTTGGAGATTTGATGTCGTTGCTGTTTTGTTTCATTTTCGTCTACCATGTGTTACCATCAACAATTAGCCTCTTGCGGATTTACAGCAGGTGCTTGCTGTGTTGCCCTACTTGCTTGCTACTTGTCGGTCTCATTGAGGGTTGATAAAGGTTCAGTATGTGATCGACTTGTTTTTGTTTTCGGTGTTTCCTTGAACGGGAGATGACCAAAAATATGATCTCAAGTGGTGGTGATGATTCCGCTCGCGTGTGCGCGTGATTTATCAAATATTTGAAGTGATTTATTGGTGATTAAATACAGATGTGATTGGTATTTACTCTCAAAATTTTCTATACCAATCGAAAGTTTTAGACGTAAATACTTTTGAATCATTCACGCTTATATCTTGAAATTGGAACATATCATTTTATATTTATCGTGTCAAATATTTATTGTTCCAATAATTTTATATTTAGCTATTGATATTTATATTTTGATAATATTTCCATTTATTGATATTATTATTCAATGGTTTACCATATTATTTGTTTATATTAAATAATAATATTAAAATTTAGTGCATATATTTTTTTTCTTCTCACTTTTGATTCAGTATGATTATAATTTTAATTATTATTTAAGGAATCAGAAGTCTTAAACTTCAGATTAAAGACAAAGTGTAAAATTTTTTATTCTCTCATTGAAATAAAAATACTGAAGTCATAAACTTCAGAATAACGACCATTGTGTCAAATTTTTCTTACATTTTATTTTCAAGTATATAATCCTGAATACAAATTTCAGATTGAAATTTTTTTGACAAAAAGTGTCAATTTGTATTTTTATATCTCATCTCAATTGTATTTTCATATATTTTATCTTTCATATTTTTGAATATTTACATTTTTAAGAAAATTTTTATAGATTTTCTTATCTTAAGTGAAAAGTTTATTTTAATTTTGTTAGTATCAGGAATAACTTTATTTACTGTGATTATCACGAAGGACTAAAAAAGCTTAAATCACAAAAAACTATTGAAAATTAAGATCTAACACTTCAATTTGATGGTAGTGCTACTTCAAAATTTTTTTTATCTTCCTCGAACACTTTATGAAAAATGTTTTACATTGTGTGCAAATGTGCTTTTTTTTATATAATTCATATTACTTTATATGTTGTTGATATCACAAATGTTATTATTATTTTTTTTTCATTTTAATTGTGCCATCATAGGGAAAGTTTTGCAAAGGGATAATTTTTAAAATTTTTAGATATTAGTTAAAATTTTCGGCGAGGGGGGATGTAACATAAAAAGCTTCTATTAATCTTTTTATGTTAGATTCTTCGCTATAAAACAATTCCTATTTTATTACTAATTATTTATTCAAGTCGAAATGCTTTCTCACACTTTTAAAAGCCACACCCTGTTTCTAAATCTATTTTTGGCTGAAGTATGCCTACATTTAAATAAAGACATTTTTCCCTTTAAACTTCGTGAGAATCATTCGAACTATTTCTTAAACCAATAGTAATCCCTGGGATTTCCCTTTTCCCCTCAAATATAACAAAGTAGAGGGAAATTCTTTTGCTACTTTCCCTAACACACACATATATATATACATAAATTATATTTCTTTTAAAGGTAGGTGTTTTTGATCCAGAAGACAGAAATTATACCACGGATGACGTTCCAGATTTTCCTAAAAAAAAATTATATTCCTTTATAGACTTACCTGATAAATATTGGGAAAAGTATAAATTTATCAAAAGATTTGTTGATTGCAAAAGAGCGAAGACACCTAAGATAATTATTTATACAAAAACAGCTAAGTGCTCAATGATGGAAAACTTTCCAGATCCTAACTTTGAATTAAAGTTTAGTGAAGGTAATTATATATATATTTTTTTAAAATTCAGTTACTTAGTATGTTTATAGTTGATTTCTTATTTTATTCTGATTAGTTGATTATTAATAATTGCAATATCTATAGCCAGGATAGTTTTTTTAAAAACATTTTTGCCATTTATTTTTTTAATATTATAACGGAACTACCGCCTTATTGAACCAGTTCAGCATAATAATCGTAAGAATTAGTACACTTATTTTTCACTTTATAAATTTTAAGGCGCCATAACATATATGATAACCATTCACTTTGCAAACTTGTGCTATGCAAATTTTTTCTCTCTGAATTTTTTAAAAATAATATTCAAATTTTAAAGAATAACACATTTTCCTAAAAAATCTAATAAATCAATCATTAGTTGATAAATTTCTCTAAATCTCACATGTATTTGTTTTATAATTAATTTTGATAGTATTTCAAATTTTCATGTGTTAAAGTTAGAATTTTTTTTAAGAACTTGTTTTTTATATGTTTGTTTTCTAAGTTGAGAGATCATACACTAAATTACTTATGTACAAAAATTGTTACTAATATATATTACTGCATATTTGTTTATAGGTTATAGAAAACCTATTTTAAGATTATTTGGTGTTAGAAGTTTCAAAATTGATTATAAATATTAACTAAATATTGGTATAATGGAATATTTACTAAGTGATGCCAGTTTTTTTTTTCATTGAACAGTACTATAAAAATTTTTATATTCTTCCATTAATAATATACTGGAAATAGTTAAAATTTTCTGTTCTTAATAAAGTCGTTCTGAAAAAAAAAAGTATATTTTATTATTCTTATTTGTGATAAAATTTGCCCTTATTAAACTAAAAGTAGAGCAAACTGCTTTTTAGTTTGATGTTTGATTTTTTAATTAAAGTAGTCTGGTATACATATCTACTTAAAAAAATAAAATGTTTTCTTGATTCCTTTTCTTGCCTCTTACGAAGCCTGTATAATGGTTTACATTGAATGTTAATGGTGTATGGGGAACTTTTTTAATGGAATATATTTATCTTAAGAAAATAACTAAGAAAAGGATTCATTGCTTTTGTTTTATTTTTCACATTTTTAAAATCTTGATTTGCAAACTACTTGGCTTTTATGTGAAGTTAATTCAAATTTTTCTTCACACTAAAATTTTTTTCACTTTCTCTTAGGTTGGAGTATTATAAAAGAAAGATCAGGAATCTTTAAACTACAAAATAAAGTAAAGGAAACTGTTGCAAAGAAAAATGTTGCTCAGAAATATTTAAATTTGTTTAACGAAGTAAGTAATTGTCATATTATTTAAATTTTAAGAATGGTAACATTTTTGAGAGGCATTCATCTTTTAATGCTTTCTTTTTAAATATTTGTATGTATTGTCGTAAAAATATTGAGTTTAGCCATTCTAGAGAATTCTTTAGCAATGCTTGTAATATTGATTATCTGAGAATACTTGTAATATTGGTGTCAAGTAAAAAGTATTGCATTTAATTAATCTTTTTTCTAGTTACTGTATTGTATTTAAATCCTTGGATATCTAATTGTATAGGATATCTAATGTCCAAAAGTTGAAAATGCAACATACATAGCAAAACAAAAAATAAACTGAACACCTTAATAACTATTTATCTAATGATCACATTATTAAGATATGATCGTTATAGTTTGGTGGATTAACTTTAAATATGCTAATTACGAGGGTTGTCCATAAAATAAGGTTCCCAACGAATTTTCACAATGAAAAACATGTTTATTGGCATTGAATAATACATGTTTGGAAAGCTTAGACTTCCCTCTTTCTTTCGGCATAATCGCCGTTTTGATCAATGCATTTTTACATGCGGTGTACCATCTTCTTTACACCTGAGTCGTAGAACTCTGCCGCCGATCCGCCGAATTTGCTTAAACTTCTTCGGCTTTGGCGAGCCTGGATGCTTCCACTAACGGGATTGTTCTTTTGTTTCCGATGTCGTGTAGTGAACCCAGGTCTCGTCCCCAGTGACAACAGAGTCCAAAAATTCCTTGCCATCGGTTTCGTAGGCATGAAGAAATTCGCAGGTGGCTTCCACATGTTGCCGTTTATTGTCATAGTCATCCGTCAGCATTTTCGAGACCCACCTTGCCCAAACCTTGGCATATCCTAAGCGGTCTCTCAAAATGTTGTGAATGCAGGACTTACTGACAACAGGGAGCATCTCGCTGAGGTCCCGAACCGTCACCCTTCGATCTTTCAGCATTGCTTCTTCCACTTTCGCAATCTCTTCATCCGAAAACGATGGCCGGCCAGAACGTTGCTCGTCATGGACGTCTGTAAGTCCGTCTTTGAATTCTCTGCTCCATTTGCGCACATGTTGCACCCTCATACACTCTTCCCTGTACGCCTCACAGAGTTGGGAATGAATGTACACCAGAGGAACGTTTTTTGCACTCAAAAACAAATCACTGAGCGTAATTCGCACCTGGCGTGAGAAACAAATGGAAGCTCCATCATTCACGGCTACCAAGACAAGAATTAACATTGTAGATACCGCGCCGGGGCGGGAACTGGAGGAAAGGGAGCCAAGTTACACGCCAGTCTCAACAAATCCCGCTTAACAGCGTCCCTAGCGTCCGCAGCTCCTTGGGAACCTTATTTTATGGACAACCCTCGTATCATTACCAATTCGCTTCAACAAAAATGACCAAATTATTTGGGCATTCCTATAGGGCCAAATCACAGTAAATTTTACCATATTATGTTAGTTTTAACCACAGTTTTTTTAAGTGTAAGATTAATAAATATTATTTGCACATAACTAAGAAATAATTAAAGAATTTTTTTAAAAACAATTCTAATCATTTTTTCCTATTTTTAATTTTACATTTTTACCTGATTTTAAGCACTATGTATGCCACTGATTAATAGATATGTAAATATATTTATATTCAACACACTTTGTGGAAGACAAAAACTACAAATGAATTTGCAAGTTATGCATTACTTATGATGAAGTGCTTTTTTTAATTAAAATAGGACTTTTGTTTTGATATTTTATGCGCATGAAAAAAAAGCTTTATTCATTGTTGGTGCACCTATAGGCTACAAACAACAGCGTTTAGCTATTTTATGTTTTACAAGCTGATATACCGTTCTTCGTACGGGGTGAAAACAAAAAATAAATAATCAATGAATCAGTATTGCAACATTAGAAAGTGAAGCCCTAAACTGCAGGACAACAATAAATAATATCACAACAATAAAAAAAACTAAAATAATTTACTTTTTTTCATTCATTTTTATTCTTAAATCTTCCCGATGGCTTTATGTTATTAGATTAAACAAGACAAATTTTTAATAGTTCATCTGATCAAAATAAAAATTATTCGTATCCAATATCATTTGGCGTGATACTGTCACTTGAGGTCAATTCGCGATTGTCACATAATCAAGCAATTTTCTCCTATTTCTATCAATTTCAAAGGGGTCGTAAGAAACCTCTTTACAATATTTAAATTTAAACTGCTCAGCATTGGCGAAATTTTAATAGGTACGAAATATACTGTTATAATGTTCTGTATCCATATTAGTACATTTGGTACATATTAACCCCTTAACGATCGGTTAATTTTCACGAAAATGGTCATAAAAGTGCCTATTTTTTGACTTTTGTACTTGTATTACGTATTTGATTAGTGCTGCAATTAGTTTAAAATAAACTAACTATCTGCAATTACCTTAAAGTATTCTGGTATTGCCATTAGGTGTGTAAAATGAGAAATAAAATTTTTTCCGGGCAAAAGAAATGAATTAGTTTTATTCTTATTGGCACGCTACTACTGAACACTAAACTGGACCCAGTACCATTATACCATTAGTGCCAATTACTAAAAATAATGAAGCATTATTGGGGTCAAAAATATCATGCCGATTTTTTATGTTTTTCCTCGAAGAATTAGTATTATTTTTCCATCAATATTTATTTTATAGTATATAGCTTAATTTTTATTTAAATTAGCAATTACCAAAATTAATTAAGCATTAGTGACGTCAAAAATAGTATAGCTAATTTTTTTCCTCCTAAGCGACTTATTATCGTTTCTCCATTATATTTGCTATTTCTAATATTTTTTGCTTTTTTAGAAGGATAATTATTATTTCCATAAATTTGTAATTTGAAATCCAAACACTCGCACTATGTGACTAAATTTTGAGAAAAACTAGTTTTTTTTTAAAATTTTTAAGAGATAATTTTTTTTACTGGTTTCAGATAGAAAAACAATTTTTTTTCTTCAATAAGTAGCAACCAAGCTGTATTTTTCTTGATAATCACCTTAGGCTATTAAACTTTATTCTCTCGAATTAACCCAGAAAACACATTCGTTGGCGGGTCAAGTTGATTAAGTGATTGGAACAGCACTTAGTTCACTTACTACTTAATTAGGGTTTTAGCTTTCACCACAAACCTCTAAATACAATAAATTTCTTTTTTATTTGTTTCAATTTGTATCTATTACCAAAATTAAATAGCAGCATCGGCGTCAATAATAGAATAGCGATCTTCACTTTTCCCTGAATTAGTAGCATTGCTCCATAAATTTTGCTTTTCTGAATGTATAATATTCTTTTTTATTAGAACCTATTATCAAATTTAATTAAGCATCATTATCGCGATTAATAGTACAGCTGTTTTTCAGGATTTTTAACATTTATACATTTTGTTTTTTAGCACATACCTTATTTTCTATTTCCTTTACCGTTGATTTCATATTTAAATTTATAGAAAAATTTTTTTAATGTATAACTATAAAAAAATAAACGCATGGTAAATTTTATAAAGAAAAGTACAAAATTTGATTTAAATTGGCATTATAGTTTCTCAGAAATTGAATTTTAAATATAATTTTACTTCTTCAAAATTCTATTTTTCAGGGACTATTTGACCTATTACGTTCAAAATTTTGATTTTCCTTATAAAATTACGTTAAAAATGATGTATAAATTTGTATACCTTAAAATTCAATTTTTTTTACTATTATTAAATAAAGTAAAAAATAATTATTAAAATTTTTTGCATGAAGTTGTCTTAGGAAAATTGAATTTTATAGTTGTGAGCAAAAATGTTTTAAATTCAATTTATAAGATCTTGAGGTATGACAAATCACGCAAAAAGAAATAAACATAAACGGGTTCAAACTTTGGACCCCTTTCCTAACCAAACTATTAGGTTCCTATTTGCCAGATTCCGTCGACCCCCTATATTTAATACTATAAAAATCCTAACGCGTAGAAAAGAAGATATGTTTGTTCAGAGAAGTTGTATGTTGGATAAAGTATATTGTATTTTTGTGCCNTAAAATAAATTTTAAAACTAAGAAAAGAAAATAATAAAAGTATCAATAATTTAAAGCACTGTTTTTTAACTTTTAAAATCAATATAATATACATATAAAAATCAGTTGATTTAAATCAATGATTTTTTTAAAAAAATCATTTGATTTTAATCATGCTTTAAATCGTGATTTAAATCAAGCTGATTTAAATCAACGAACCCTGAAACAAAGTAATATTTATAAAAACTTAACTAAACAATTGCCTACTCATGAACCTTCCAAAGAATTTTCTAACAATTTAGTCATTTTACACTATTTTCCGAAAATAAGTTGGCAAGTTGCTAATATCCTAAAGAAGTTTGATTTTAATATTTAATTAATTAGTGTAGATGATATTTAAAGCTATAAAGTTAGGCACAATTTTTACTAAATAAACATTCTTTTTGACAAATTTGAAATCTTGGTTTAAAAATATGCGAGATAGGGACATATTCTCGATAATATGGTCCCAATACTTTTACCAAACTAGGATCCTTCACAGGAAGTTAGACTTGACTTTATCATATACTGCATAAAAATAGTTCACAAACTTTAGGTACACACCACAAAAGCTAGCACCATTGAGAGTACATCAGAATTTCCTTATTGAAAACATAATAATTTAGCTTCTCATTTGAAGAAAAAAAAATACATCACCTTAACTATAAAGTTGGTGAAATTTAATGTCAATTCTAAGAAATTTATGTACAGAGATTTTTTGTGTATTTTTATGTTATTTATAAATAATTTAAAATATTTTGTAGGAGATAATAAATAAGAATTATATGTTTGTTTTCATTAGATGACAAAGCTGTGTAATTTTTTTCATGAATATTTAAAGCCATTAGAACGAAATAATGAAGTTGATGAAACAATTCTCTTTCCTGCTATTTTTGGAGAGTGGGTATACTTTTCTTACTTCATAGTCTTTTAACTGCAATTTTACATTTCCTTTTTATTTTCTGGCATAAAAAATAATTTCTATTTTATTATTTAATTTTTTAGCAAGGCTGCATTTTTTCAAGCTCTTAAGAATTCTACTGATGAGCATTGTATGAGTGGAAAAAATAAACGAGTATGTCATGTTTGTCTCTATATTATACACCATATGTACCATTGTCTGTATTGTTCGTGTATGTGGTTATTAGAAATATATCTTTTTAGATTTTTCAATGTACTCTTCTGTTATTAATGTTCTCTGTAAGCATGCCACTGCTTCTATCAAATTTGTACAAAAGTTTCAAAATGTTAAATTAAATTTGGCAGATAAAGACAGTTTTCAAGCTTTTCCCTCATTTATAGATGTGAGGCATTGTCTTATTAATCTTAACCTCTGCTCAGTTTATATCTCATGCTGTAATTAAGAGAAATTGTAAGTTTTTATGTATGTATCAAGTTTATTAATTCTTCCTTTTTTAAAAAAAATGTATTTTGTTTAATCACTGTTGAGGAAAAGTATATATATATAAAGGAGATATTTCATTACTGTATGAAATTGATCTTTAAAGCTTTTAAATCCTTCTTTCTTAATAGTGTTGAGGAATTTTTTTAAAATTTAAATTAATTTACAATCTCTAGTATGTTTATAAATTTGTGTGTTTTTATATTCAAATTTTACTTATTATTAATTGCTGTTTTTCAATTTCAAACAATTTAACAAGAAAAAAATTCAATCAATTTAACAGGAAAGGTAACCATTGTATAATTCTGTTTAACTGAGTTATACTTAATTTCTATGTGTCTACAATGTTTAAGAGCACAAAAAANTATTTCATTACTGTATGAAATTGGTCTTTATAGCTTTTAAATCCTTCTTTCTTAATAGTGTTGAGGAATTTTTTTAAAATTTAAATTAATTTACAATCTCTAGTATGTTTATAAATTTGTGTGTTTTTATATTCAAGTTTTTCAATTTCAAACAATTTAACAGGAAAGGTAACCATTGTTTAATTCTGTTTAACTGAGTTATTATACTTAATTTCTATGTGTCTTAATTTCTACTCTTCTAACCAAATATCTACTTGCACTAAAAGTGAGATAGATTTCCTCAGCGTCTTACAAAATACTAAAACACAAGTGAAGATTTATTGAAGTAAATTTATGAAAATTTAAAATTTAATTGTCTACTAGAAATTTTAATTAAAGTTAATGTACTTTTGTATTTTAAATGTAGTGTTCATCATGTTAGATATACGCTAGTTAAAGTAGATTTTCTTCTCTGATTTCTTTGTACTAGTAAAAATGAAAGAAATCCTTTGCCGTTTACCTAAGAACTAAGCACACGTTAGACGAGATGTGACTGTTCGATAACCAGACTGGTGCTTCCACAACTAACTACACGAAAGACAAATGGGAATGACCTAAATCTAAAGTTTGAAGTTTGCATATTCGAATGTGTACCTCGCATGTCTTGAAACAGTTTGTTTTGCTTGTATTTTTAGTTGGTATTCGAGTTTTTGTTTTCCTGATATGTTTTTGTGAGACTTGTATGGCAACGAATGTTTAGCACATGTGCAAATTTTTGAGTGGTTAAAATGTTTCCCAGATAGTCAAGAAGATGATTGACATCCGGGTCACCAATCCAGATCAAACATTGAAGAATATATTGAAAAAAAGTCAGTAATCTGAGTAAATTAACTCTTCAATTGATTGTCAGTTTGTTCTATAAGATCAAACTATTTTATCAATATAACTAATTTGAGGTCTATTAAAAGAGAAGCAAAGAAAGACCTAAATTGTAAAAGAACAAGTCATGGATTCTCTATCAAAAGAACATGCCTGCTCATCCTCTTATCTCTTTGGACATTTCTAGGCAAATACAGAATATCCGCTTTATTCATTTGACATTGTATCACACAAATTATATTTGTTTCTGAAGGTCAAATAATAAGATTTCAAACCATTGATCTCTTAAAGAAAAATTATTATGTGTCACGAAGAAGTTCACAGAAAAAGACATCCAACTCTCATGAACAATGAAAATTTCACATGGAGTATGGTAACGCCCCAAACCTCATATCCTTAGAAAAGTAATAAAAAATAATGAGGCTTTTAAGTGATTATGAAAAAGAACCTGGTATTCTTATTTGACTGCAAAGAACAGAAGACTTCTTAGAAAACAAGAGTAAATCATTTCCCATATATCCGACCATACTTGTCTCAACACAAAATATCTTTTTTCATTTTTAGTAAATTTCAAGAGTTACCTGAGTAGTTTTTATTCATATATCTGCCGGTGGTGAGTGTGATAATCAAAGAATGTTATCACGTATAAATGATTTTGTTTCTGGAAATGTGATGACAATAAGCGGCTGATTCTATTTAGCAATAATTACATATATCAATAATCACTGTACTAACAAGACTATACCAATTCTGTTTATAAACATTTATTTTGCTTATTAATCAACTTAATACTAATGTTTTAATTTTCTTAGGTATTACAGTTTTCAAACAGTCATTCAGTAAACTCATGGGAACAAAAAGATACAATTAATTATAAAAAGTATAAAGAAATTTTTCATCGTGACATCAAGAATTCAGTTGCAGCTGTGCATGTACGTATGTTAAATTTTTGAAACTTTAATTTGTATCAGCAAATAAATGTCTGTAGTTGTTTCTGAAAATGTTTGATTTTTACAGCATACATTTATCTCTTAAAACTCACATTTCTCATTTTCTGAAATTTTCACTCTTTCTGTAGTATTTTCCATAGCTTTTATATACTATTCATGATTTTTTTAATATTTATTTCTTGAATTATTTCTTTATATTCATACTTTATTTGCTGATACAAGTTATAAACTTTAATTTGTATCAGCAAATGAATGTCTTTGTAATGAGGAACCTTCATGTGTAAGGTAATCGCTTAATCTTGATTATTTTGAATAGTAAAACTCTCAAAAATCAAATCAGTATATTCAAAATTGACCAGTAATTTTTAAAATCATAGCTCAAAATTAGCTTAAAATGAAACTAACTTCACATGACTCAAAAAAAGGCGGGGGTTGCTTATGACGTCAGTATATAGTACCTGGGTAAAAAGAATTGGCCGAACCTAAACTTGTCATAGAGTAAAGTGATGTTGTCTACAAAGGAGTTTTATTCTAATATAAATTTATTTATTGCCGAAATTGAGTTAACTTTTTGGTTTAATGCACAGAGAGAGAAGGATGTTTGGTTTAAGAATTTTTTTTTTAAAATCAAAAATATCAATTTTGACATTCTAAAGTGTTGTAGGAAATAAGAAAATTTTTCACCTAATAGTTTCATCCCAGATAGGAAATGGAAATATTTAAGATTTAGATTTTTAAGTTTTTTACTAGAGATGTAAATAATTCTCAATCTCTTATTTATTTATTTGTAGCTATTTTTTTATCCTTAAAACCGTTTTTCCTGAAAAACTACAAAAAATAAATAATTATTTATTTGTAATAATTTTTTTATGTGCAATATTTAATTTATTCAGAGTAATGTATTGGATGCGAAATTTGCATTTTGAGATTTTATAACGTTCTTAGTTAAAATATTTTTGCAAGATGCATTTCGCAAAATAAAATTCAAACAAAATTTACCAAAAAAAAAAAAAAAACAAAAAATGCAAGAACACAATGGCGAATTGCTTGTGTGTGTAGAAAACTTTAAGAATTTAAAGTGTGATGTAAAGTGTCATGTAAATAGACATTTTCTTGAATAATTAAAATGAACTTAAATATTGTTAAAATTGCTAATTTTTTTTCGAAGTTCGCTGTTTTTGTGACAATGACTAAATTATAAAAATTGTTTTTTTAAAATTTCAAAAATTACAGAAATAACTTTGAAAAATGATTTTATAATTTAAGAACTTTTTTTTTTCAGAATTAAATTCCCCTCCCCCTTCTGAGAAAAATTTTGTAGGTGCCCTTGAAAAAAATTATGAATGCAAAAAAAAAAAAGAAAGTTTTAAACTGCTTTCCTATTTTGTACTTTTTTTTTCAATGACCTCTGAAAAGCATTATTATTATTATTTTTATTAATGTTGCTTTATTTTTATGAATAACGTACATTAAGGTATGAATTGTTTTAAAAGTTCCATGCTGGTATGATCGCAGACTGAGCACATTGAAATGTATAAGAATTTAAATGAAAAGTTTTTATAGAAATAAAGTTTAAAAATTTTCTTAAAAAATGTCTTTGTTATTGTTTAGTTCTATATTTGTAATGTCCTTATATTTTATTTAATTGTTATTAGAAGTGATGCAAAAGATTTTAAGCCCCTTCCATTTTTTATTTTAATTATTTTTACATTTTTCCTCTTCCCAACTACAAAAAAATAAAATGAATTATTTTTATTTAAATAATTTCGATTTCAATAGAGTAAAAAACAAAATAACGTATATTGTAGATAATGAAGTTAAAGCAGAATGAAACAAAATAGGTCATTTAAATTAAAGAACAATATTTATAAAAAGGAATAACTGGTACACGATTATTCTTTAAGAATAAAATCCTTTCAAAGAATAAAATACATTTCATAAACATTTTAATTCAGCATAGTGAATGATTTCTTCAGAGAATATATAACTATTACAGCGGGATATAAAAGAATACTTGGAGTTATTTTTGAGAGTTTTTATCAATGTTCTGCGAGCAACGGCATGCGCTTTTACTGTATCAGAAGGTGATGGGAGTCGTATTTTTCCTATATATTGACGTCATTAGCCAAGGTGGGGAAACTAAATGCGTTTCAGAGGCGTGACTAATCGCACAATTTTAAATATTAATTACAAAATAACTAGTTAACCCTATGAACTGAAATTGGTGTCTAACGCCATAAAATGGTTTAAAGTCTTATATTAAAAAATAAAAAAAAATACCATGCTCGTTCCTCATTGTTTCTGAAAATGTTTGATTTTTACAGCATACATTTATCTCTTAGAAATCATATTTCTCATTTTCTGAAATTTTTGCTCTTTCTTTAGTATTTTCCATAGCTTTTATATACTATTCATGATTCTTTAATATTTATTTCTTGAATTATTTCTTTACATTCCTACTTTATTAGCTGATACAAATTATAAACTTTAATTTGTATCAGCAAATAAATGTCTTTGTAATTGTTTCTGAAAATGTTTGATTTTTACAGCATACATTTATCTCTTAGAACTCATATTTCCCATTTTATGAAATTTTCAGTCTTTCTGTAGTATTTTCCATAGCAATTATATATACTATACATGATTCTTTAATATTTATTTCTTGGATTATTTCTTTATATTCATCTAAGTTGTTATGAAGGCACTCTATTTAGGTTACCTTAGTGTTATAGCTGTGTAATATTTTATTTTAATGGACATACTCTTATCAGAAAGTTATCAGTATAGTTACGTCATCCTGAAAAACTTTTGTTTGAATGGAATTGGTAAAAGGTTTCTAAGAAATGAAAATTTAAAAAAAAAAAATGTTATATTATAATATATATGGTTATTAATTTTTATAATTTTGAAACTATTTTACCGATTTTGCACAACTCTTTGTATTTTGTCCCTTAAAAATTTGTTAAAGTGATGTACAAATTTGCATATCTTGTAATTTAAGCTTTTTTTTTTATCATGGAATAAAATTATAAAAAGTGACATGAATGTTTAGAGGTCCATACTTAGAATGGTTTTAGTTCATGGCTTAGAAAGTTTTTTTTTAATGATTTTTTGTTGTTATTAATATTTTAGGATTGTGGTGATTATGTTTCTATAGAATATAAAGATGGCTTCGAACTTAGAAGTTATATTTATGGAGAAGAGGCTATGTTCTATAGCTCCAAAACAGGAGAAAGGTTGGACATTAATTTACCTATCTAAATGTTATTTTGTTTTTTCGGTTAAACAATTATACTTTTATAATAATTTTAAACAAATATTATAATTTTTTACCCTGCTGTATTATTAGTATAGTTTTAAATATACGAGCTGAAATTATTACTTTTTTTAACTAACTTCTTTCTTTCCTTTTTGTGTGTGTGTGAATGTTTATAATTTTAAAGAAACTTGATTCTTGATCTAAATCTACATATTAGCATTAAAATTTTAACAAATTTACCTTTATATTTATTATAAGTGAAGTTTTGTATCATATCAAAATTTTTGCTACTTGATGTAACAGGAAAGCCAAGGAAAATAAATTGCAATGAACAAAAAAGCAAGATTTTTGTTTAAAATTTTAATAATTGCAGATAAAGGCCATTTTATCTTTAGTTTTGAAACATTTTAAAAACTTACATGTACTTGTTGATAGTATATGCTTTAATTCCTTCGTTATTTCTTTTTAAGGACTTTTTTCCATTTCCTTAATCATTGCTGACTTTATCATTAGCTGATTATTCTCTACTCATGTTTAATGATTTATAAAGAGCCTTAGATTTTAATTGCTGTAATGCTGGAAAGACTGACATATTTCTTTCAGCTGTTATGTTTTTTTTAAAAAAGCTTTTCAAGGATTTATTTACAGTATAATAGTTTCTGGCATTTGTTTAATTGCTTTTTCCCCTCTGAACCATTTCTTGCTTCATCCTGAAGGAGAAAGTGGAAAAAATTTTGAGAAGCATAAATTTCTTTTCTCCCTTCAGAAATAATGCAGTTGATCTGGAATTAGTTTTATGAAATTAGCTCTTTGTTTTCTTATTCTTCAAATATAATTTTTTTCTCTAACAAGCTTTTCTAACACTTCTAATTTCTCTTCTATAATTTATAAACTATTATAAAAAGGTGGGCTTAGATTTTTACATTTTTTTTTAGGCTGCATTACTGAAATAGCTTAAATATAAGCCAAAATTAAGATTTGTTCTTAAAGAAATTATTCTTGTTATAATAAAGTCATTTTGTAGTTAATATATTCATGAGTATTATTTTTGCTACTAAGTAGCTTCAGACAGATGATATTCAGATTGCATTACATGTGTGTTTTTACTTACTATAGAGTTAATAATTTCTTGTTTATGCATGCATTTTTTTTACTTTATAGGTTTACCAAATGGAAAGAAAATCCCCTCTTGATGAAGAGAGTTAAGCAAGATTTGAAAATTATATTAATTTTGATTGAACACAATCGATCTAAAGAAAATGGGCAGATTACTTGATTAAATATACAACTTTACCATATCGATTTTTAAAAAGACCAGATTTTTTTTAAAATCAAAATTTTTGTACTGGACTGTCAATTCTGATTTAAAAAGATTGAAACAATTATATTTTTCGAATTAGTATTGATTTAAAAATTTGTAAATGCTTTATTAAATATTACATAAAATAATAAATAATTTTTAGTATGCTTTCAAGTTGGTCAAATGGTACACTTTTATAGATAGTTTTTATCAAAAATGCTATTTTCTTAAACATAAATTATAATTTTCATATGTTTTATTTCTGTTCCCAAACATTTCGCCTTATGAAACCCTTTTAGAAATCAATTTCTGTTTGTATCTGATATACTACTGACAAAATAAATTACATTATAAAAATTACCTAATGTTTATAAATATTATATTATGTATGTTCTACAGTGATGACCTATAAATTTAATTAATGCCCTGTAAAGTTCTCCGTTGGTCTTCAGGAAGTGATCTTCCTCTGACAATATACAACTTGGTTCAGGAGTTAAGGAGTGATTGTAAGCAAGAGGCAGAACCCACTAGTTAATTTTTTTTTAATGTACTTACTTAGAGTTCTTTATTTCGTTTTGATTGGTTCTATTGTAAAAATATCCCATTTACATTAAAAACCTGCTCTGTTAATTATTTAATTGATATACCTGGGTATATTCCATGTTATATATAAACATAGCTGATATGTTGACTAGTAAAAGTGGTAGTTTTATTTTGGTGGTACTATCTCTCCTCTAATTTTATATATTTAATTTTTCTCTGCCCTGGTATTGGAAGGAATGAACAAGAATAAGTGGACTTACTTTTCGTATTATATCAAAAAGTATTTTTTTTTTTTAAGTATAAAAAAAAATAATTAGATACAATGTGTACCATAAAAGCAACAAAAAAATTAAACAAAGTTTTTTAAGAATGAACACTCTCCACGTAACGTCGGATCGGAAACAACATTGAGAGGTTGAAAGTTACGAAACTACTACCCATGCAAGTCAAGATTAGGTTGAAAAACAATGACAAAAGATCAGGCATGGAATTTTTCTGTTAATTCTGGGAAATCGAGTTAAAAGAACCAAATTTTTTGATTAAAAGTTGCAGTTGTGTTCAAAGTATTACAGTATTATGTTCAATGTATAATTTGTTTTCATCATTTAACAGGATTTAATTTTGTTGAATGAATATATATCAGGGTTGCCACAGGTGACTAAAATGCAACTATTTACAACTATTTTCAGCATAAAGCGACTATGGCAACTTTTTTTTGCCTGAAAAGACTAAAAAAGCAACTATTTTCAGGAAAAGGAGACTATTAGGAAACTTTTCTGTACTCCTAGCAATGTTTTTTTTTAGCATAATTGGGTTGAAAACCTGCAGCCCGCGAAATCTTCTGAAGACGCTGAATTTCTTTTCTTAGGAAATGTAAAATAAAAATAATAAAATTTTAAAAAATTAAATAAGTAATTAAAACATTAAAAAGTTTTAGATTGAAAATTTGAGTCATCACTTTTTAATTTGTTCAATTTGCATAGATTCTAAGTCTATTTCATTTCTCGATCGCCTTTTGAACGGTTATAACTAAGAAATTCTGCATGATTTTAAAAATCCCAATTTTTAATACGATGCATGAATTTTGAATTTGAGTAATTACTTTACACAATATATATATATATATATATTTGCTAAATCAATTATTGATGAAAGGGAAAATTTCTTAGAAAAAGTGTGTTTTTTTTTAATTGAAAAGTATTTTTTGAATGAATTCTAGTAATTAAAAGTATTTAATTCTCTGCAAATAAAATTTTTTTTTGTATAAAAATTTAGTGCTAGAACACTAGCGTTTACATAAAAATTATCGTATTCGCCACCAACTTGACTAAATGTATCATGGTATATGGCAATTAAGTCATTTAATAAAATTTTAGTCTTATTTTTGCTGAATTTCTGTTCTTATTTAGGCAACTATTTTCATGCTTCAGGCTACTAAAAGCAACTATTTTGTTCATGTTTTTCTGTTTCAACCCTGTATATATATAATTTCCATTTGTTTCATGTTTTTTTTAATTTGAGTAGCACCTTAAATCATTTATGTGTAAAACATCAGTTATTTATTATAAATTTTTAAATGAATGAAACATTTCATTGCTATTTTCTTCTTTAGAACATTAAATTATAGTGTTATTCAATGTATCTTATAAAATTTGTTTCTCAATTATATTTTGTGACAAAAACTATAAAAGTGTGCTAAAAATTCCTGCTAATGAAATTAATCTCACAGTAGATAATTTGATTTAAATTTTAAAGAAGGTAAATACTTTAATGATTCAAAGAATTAGCTCTAGTTAAATGCAAATTGACACATAATTAACAGTATAATTTTTTTCTTCTCACTGTACAAAGTCTCAACTTCCTTGAAAGTATTCGCAGTGCTAAAACACTTAACTAATAAAAATGTCTTAAAAAATTTCTTTAGCATAAAGGTTAGGTTATGGAATGAAGTGGTTTATTAATATAGTTTAATAGACATTTATAATGCTTTAGTGTTTGCAATTCTCTGTTTTGATACTTTATTATTTATAAATATGAGAGTTTATTTTTTATAACCCAAATCATGTAAAAAAATATTTATATATGAAAACTTGTTTTTTGAACGGATTTTTTGAAATTGTTTAAAACACCCTTAAAAATATGCTCTTTCACATCCTAAACCATAACTTTCTTATACAAAACCTTTCTCTAAATTGTTTTGCTCAAGGCTCTACTTGAAATTGATTGAATTGATTCTAATATGGGTCTTGGCTACCAGAAACATCAGCATTGTTTTTTTCTTGTCGTTTTGAATAGTGTAAATGCATTTGATTTAAAATTTGTAGAAGTGAAGTTACTAAATTTCCTTTTGGTGATATTCAAAACTGACAAGTATTCAAAAGTGAGCTCATAATTTTGTGTGAAACTATAATCTAAAATGATAAATGATTCTTTGCATTCTTACATATGATAACTGTTTATCAAAATCTACTACATATAAACAAAATATGAATTAGTGTACCATACATAACTGTGTCCTAAAAAGTATTCTATTTTTTTTATCTGTTTATAGTTACTCTATATCATTATTAATTAGTAAGTTATTAGAACATGTTAATTGGACGCTTGAAAAGTATGATTAATTATATTAATTAATGTTGTTCTTTTTATACAATTTTGTTTTTTAAATAGCTATGTTTTCCGTAAAATGTCTTTAAGGTATATCTATTATAAGTTTTTTTCATATGTTATTTTTGATGGGAACAAACTACTAACTTTTTTAAGTATAGCTAAAATTTAATCTGTACATTTTAACATATGGAAATGTAAAATTCTAATTGAAATGGAACTAAGTCTGAAATAAAGAGCATGGTCCAAAACATAGGAAATGCTAGCAATTTTGCGCAGCAACGGCCTCTCAAGTGAGATATGAGTTTGTAATTTGCATTTTTTTTTCTGACAAGAGAGGAAGAAGGAGTAGTGCATGGAATACTTGCATGAGCACAGTTCCTGGAATTTTTAGGAATTTTTAAGGTTAAAATTTTTAAATGCAAAAGATTTCTTAAAATATTTTCTGCAAAGTTTTTAAAAACAAATAAAAATTTTAACTTTGTTTAATGCAAAGTTATATATTTTGATTTGAATTTAATTCTAAAATTAGAATGGTGCAGTAAAAGTTAGAGCAAAACCCATGAAGGGTGTTGCAACTTTCTTCCGTAAGCACAGAAGCGGTTTGTGATTCTCTTATTTTTGTTGATAAGGGGGAGGGAGAGTCCAAAGTTGTAAAAAATATGCTTTTGAACAGGACACTAGAACAGAAAGTAAAAATTTAGTACATATTTTGATAGTATTGAGTTTTTGTACTTATTTCCCTAACTTCCCATTTATATATAAAAGAAAATTTCTTTAATCTCTTCTAATGTAGGATATATTTTATGCACCAATAGCATATTGTGATTTTGAATTCTGCTTTATAAAGACTACTATGCATCTCAAAAGCTGGGGGCAATCCATAAATGAGTGCAAAACGTATCTATAACTGGAATTAAATTTATAAAAATGTAACCAAGCTGTTACAAATGTATGAAAATAATATTTTATGCAAGTTTTATTCTGTTTGAATCAGTAAAAACATCTTAGCAAAATAAAATTTTGGGCTTTCTTTTTTATTTTTATCTCAGAGCTCCGGGGCTTTATAATCTCAATTTAATTGAAATACCATACAAATAATATGGGAACCATTAATTTGATGACCTAGAATAGTTTTTATTTTATTTTTAATCATTTTGATTATAATCAAATTATTTAATTAAAATTGTTACTTTAATTGTTAGTTCTCAAAACGATTGTCTATGTAAAACTGTACCATCTGACCTTATCCCTAAATAGCCATAATCTTGAGTTTCAAAATAAAAAATATTTAATCTAAAAGTGAAAGAGTTTGAATATATAAAAATGAGTTATTTTACAGAACGATAGAATTGTATATGACGGTCATAATATATATATATATATATATGCTTGTTCTTTAAATAAATATTGTACATATGTATCATATTTAATATTCTTAGTTCCCTGAATTAGTTTTCGTAATCTAACATTTGTAAAAATATGCCATTTATTCATTACTCATTTATCTATGTGCCAGTTATGTTTCTCAATTTAGTAATTTGCTCTCATTTCTTTTTTATTTCATTTCTAAGGCACACATCTTTAATTTTATGATGTATCATTCCTGTCTAGATAAGGATAATTTTTATATCAATTGTGAAAATAAATGAAGACGTGCTTTTAAATAGATGTATGCCCACTTTAAGCATGGCTAAACAGTATGCGAAAATATAAATATTTCTTTAATATATTTTTAACACATTATATATTGAAAAAAAAACCTCTTTAACATACTAAGTTTAAAACTATTTTTGTTTCAAATAAAGCTGTTTTAAATTTCTGTATAAAAGTGTGTATTATATATTTTTTTTGGAGGGGGGGAGTACTCTTGGGTGGGGATACTTTTTTCTAGCTAAAACATAACAGAGAAACTTCAAAAACATCTTATAGTCATGAACACATGACTTAACAATATTTTTGTCGGATAAGTTTAAAGGAAATGTAAATACATTAGAAAGCTTTAAATTTTAGTTCTCAAACACAAATAAACATTGATGTTGCATTATCAGGCAAAAACATCTATTGCTTGAAGCATTCAGACAAATGTGAACATTTTAATTAATTTTAAAAATGTTAGTAAACTTTGGGCCATTGAAAATTATTATCCAGCAGAAAACTTAATTTGAATTTTTGACGCATTAACATAAAAATAACCACTCGCTACACGGCGAGTCCAAACGAAAAAAAAAGTGGCAACAATTTCAATTAAATAAACAACTGTCCAATTTTTCCTTTACTCTTTTTTTTTTTTTAAAGATCTGTTAATGATAAAAATACATCAATGTAGAAAGACTTTGAATAAAATTGAATTTTCTTTCAATATATGCATTCAAAATTTTGGTCCTTCAGAATCCATCACTTTGTAGTGGAAAGATTCATGTGGACAGAGAGTTCTTTAACAATTTATTTGTCTTATATTTGCAATGTATACATTAAAAGCATTTTGCCTCCCCAAATATTTTTAAAAGTTCTTTAAAGGTCAGTATGTTTAACTAAATTTTGTCATATATTTGTATTATTTTTATTGTTGAGTTAACTTTGTATAGCCATAGATTTTTCTAATATGAATTATTTTTAAAAAAATAATTTAATAAAGTAAAAAAAAAATGGTTATTAAATGAAAAGGTCCTATCGCTATTGATCACAGGCTCATTAAGTTGAAAGAAAAAGTGGATACTAAGTTATTATAGTCTCCTGGCCACTGGCTACTAACTAAAAATTTAAATAATTAGGTTTATTGACATCATGTGTGTGTGTATATATATATTTATTTGATTTCAAGAACGAAGGAAGTTGATTTTATAGTTTTAAAGTGCATATAATAGTTTGGATTCAAAAATGATATAGGTTTTTATTTATTTTATTGTGTGTTTTCTGTTAAGTACTACTAGTGATGTAGCTAGGAGGCTCCTGCTTCTCCTTAAATGCTACACTTGGATATTTTTTTAGGTAGGCTAATTTTTTTCATATGTATTAACTACATACTTGACTTATGCATTATATTAAATAATTAAATAAATGAGTTGTATTACATATTTACAATTTGTGTGGTTGTCGAGGGAATAATTTCTTAGTGGTAACCATATTTATGTTTTAATGATCAATATTTTTTTTTTTAGTTTTAAATCTTTAGTTTTTTATTCAATGAAATTTTTAAAAAAGAAAAAAAAAACTTTTACTCTTTATAACAAATTTCAGGGTTGTCCCTCCCCAGGAAAAACCTAGAAAATACTGAAAATTTAAAATTCATCTTAAAGAAAAGGGAATTTTTCCTTACGAACTGAGAAAATATGGGGAAATTTTGTTTCTTTTCGTCTTTAAAAAATTCAGACCTCTCAAAGTGCATTCTCTGGGATATTTAAAGATGAAAGTTCAACTATACTATTCAATATCATTTACTGTAGCATCATTTGTTTCAAGTATGTCAGGCTGTTCCTTATTTCTCTGAGTTTTTTCAGCAATTAATACCTGTATAGTTATGCTAATATTATAGTTCTCACAAGGGCACAGTGATTGTGTGTTTCCTCTTAATATATTTTGTATAACATGAACAGGGAAAATACCTGATTTGAGTGGCTACCCTTAATCAACAATTCAAGCATATTAGCTTATAATATAAGAGCCATTAGCTGGGCAAAAAATAGTTGGAATGTAGGTTAATTTCTAGAAAATTGTTCAGTCTTCAATTATTATTTTACTGCCACTTAGTAAAATTTTCCCGACTGACTATACAAATTGACAGTTATAATATTAATGCTTTTAACTCCATACTATTTTCTGGTCTTAAACTTTAACACAGGAAAATTTGTTGGGATTTGCTTAAAAAACTGGGGGTAGAAAGGCGTGAGAGCCAGTGGTTATACCAGTGGTAAAATTTGTTATACCAGATGTTCGAAAAATGAAAGAATCGATTTAAGAAATGTTTCAAAAGTCAGATTTCTAAATTTTAGCGTAAAAGCTTCTATTAGTATTACATTTTAGTAAAATTTCTATGAAGTATTTTAGTCATGCATAAGAAAACCAGAATAAAAAAATAAATTTTTTAAACACTAAACGTACCATAACCAGTCAAAAGACCATTTATGGAGTATTGTAGTGTAAAGTGTTGGTATGTTTAGTGTTAAAATTGTATGTTAATAATTACATTCATGTAATTGTTATGTACGTAATGTATGTAACATAATGTACGTTAATGTAATTGTTAAAACGTACCATAAACAAGAATTAAAAAAAAAAAAATTGTTATAAATATAATAGAGGTATGTTTTATCTGCTAAAATTTTTTATAGTTATACAGTAGCAGGAATACTATAAATTAACGTTTTTGTTATTTATACTACTTTTTTGTAATTTTAGTTTATTTTTTTTATGCTATGATTGTTAAATGTCAATGTTTGTACTTTGTAAAACTCAAATGTGTTTGCAAACTAACTCAATTCCATTTATCGTGAAGTGTGTATTCATCTTTATATATTCATTGAGTCTGTTCATACATTTATTAGAATTTATTTATTTGAAAGGCAGTGTAAATAAAACTATACTTTAAATACATAAATGCAGTCTTTAGTATTCAGTCTTGATTTACAAGAGGCACATATTTAACACTAATTTCCCACAATAAAATTATCCAGTTAAAACACAAATGAAATCATAAAATGTACTCAACGTAAGTCTAAAATTATACAATAAATATTATCTTATAAATAGAACAATATCAAATACATGTGTCAAAAAGAGGTACATATAAATGTATAAAACAAGTTAACTTTAATCAGTTGACCATTGAAAATATATTTTCCACAAGTTAACATCTAATTAAAAGCAACAAAATTAATGTTTACCAATTAGTATTCAACATTTACGAAAATAGCTGACACTACTAGTAATATTTTATATGATTTGAAAACGGAGTTTTTATTCAGTTTAAAAAAATTTCATTATTTAATGCTATATTTTGTTTCAATATTAAATAGTCCTTAAATTATCTTTATTCCTTTGTTTAAATTATGATTGTTCAGCTTTTAATAGTTACTATTAATTGATGTAAGTAGTTTCGTAGATTATTACATTAATTAAGACCTTATAGGTATACATAAATTGCATAATTTCTTTTGTTTTACATCTACTTCTTTAAAATTTACATATTCACATCTTACTCAGTTCCCAAGAATATCATCAAATTTTAAATGAGGTGGTTGGGTTGTTAAAGCTAATAATGACACTGTTATTGAAAAGCAAATTTTCTTCCAAATGTCAAATTGAAGCATACCAAAGTTCATAAAGCTTCATGTGATGTTCACAAAGCTTAAAAATGTTCATGCATAACCAAGTAAAACATTTACAGTTGATCTGTATTTTAGGAAAAAATGAAGAAACCAATATAAAAATACAAGTTTTTCAAAAATGATTTTATGACCAAATGTGACATTCTTTTAGCAAAAGCAATCAAAGTAACTTCATCGTTCCTGTTATGATAAACATGGAATAATTATAATAAATAGTTTTCATATCAATCATATTTTGAATTCACACATAAATATTAATAACTTTTATTGAAGCTGATTAACACATTGATTGGAACAGTAGAAATTGCAAGTAATGTAGAATAGTACTACAATATCAAAAGTTTAATAAAATTCCTTTTTTATGAAATCAGGTGCAAAACTAGCTAGAGTATGTAGTTAAAAAGCTAAATTTTTTTTATCAATATTTTCAGAAATGGACGGCATTATGTTTCCTTAAATTACTCATTTTTTTAAAAACAATTATTCTTACTTAACCTTAGCTGAACGTTTCATCCTTTGAAAATCATTAACAATATAAGTTCTATTGATTAAACATGACATAATAATTAGTTAAAAAATTTATATCTTATGTAGCATTCACAAAATTTCTTAATAATGTTTTCAAAATGCTTAGTAATGACAATTTTTAACAAATAGATGTTTGAAGACTCACTGTTGAAAAATTTATCCAAAACCTCACAGCAAATGAAACATTAAAGTTATAATTTGAATAAAATGTTAAAACAAAATATACAAGATTATAGTTTTGAACTTGATATCTATGTACAAGATTATGTTGCATGCACTATATCACCGGACATTTTAAAAGAAATGACACAATTTTAATGCACCGATACACGAGATGCCAAGAAATTTTCTTGAAAAGAAAGTTATTTTATCATTTTGCAGGGAATTTAAATTCATTCCTTAATCACATAGATATGTTGCTTGCCTTTGTAGGATTTTGAATCACAGTACTCTGTAAAATCTTTCCTTTCTGAAAATTTCTTGGCTTATGTCCTAGAAGCGATCTTTTGGCAAGGTCCCCATTTCGGAATCTTGCAAGTATTGTAGCTCTTGCAAGTCTTTGAATTTTTCGTGATCTTTTATCCTTGTATAATTAGCTGCAAGACACATGATATAATGCACCTATAAAAGAAAGTTAATTTATGTAGTTAGTCGTTGAGTCTCGGGCAAAAATTTTAAAAACCAGTGTTTTTTTAAATAATGCAAGTTACAAAAGAAAAAGAGGCGCAGTTGAGGTAATACTAAATTTCATATTCATAGAGATTTGTAAGTAGAAGGCTATGAAAGTTCTTTTTTTTCTTCTTCTCTTTGATTTTTATATGTATATTTGTGTGAAACTGAGTAATTGGCAATTGCTGATAAATCTATGCATATATTTCTTTCATGTGGCACCATAAACTTGGAAATTTTTCGATCTATTGGCAACATTATAGTTATTATTCATTTTGTTACGTTGTCTTAAGTAATAATTTAAGTAGTGCTAAAAAAATAGTTATACAGTAAAACTTGTGTAAGTTGACCACTTGTGGTGCATTGTTTTAGTGGTCAACTTAGACAAGTTTGCAACTTATAGTTGGGGTGGGACATTGTTTACTTTTTCGTTTCCTTTCCGAAAACATGTAATTTGAAAACTTTAACAAAACAAAATTATTAGAAAACTATTGAAAAATTATTCAAAATTATAAAAGATCAAAGCATATTTCAGAGCATTCTTTTATTCAAATGCTCACTATTGCAACTGGAAGAGCAACTTTTCAACTAACACACCTGTTCTCAATGAATGAATGAAAGAAATGGTCAAAAGCTGACCCCCTACAGTTTCTCTAGATAGTCAACTCACAAAAGGGTTTAGATTAGCTTTTTACACTATTTCACCAAACAAGTGAAATTTTAACATACATTGCAAAATGACAGAAAATTTTCTGATTTTCTTTTTTCTGGTCAACTTATGAAGGTTTTAGAATTGAATTTCATAATACTCCTTGTCAAAATTGACTTATTTCGGTGGTCAACATACAAGAAAGACAGGTGGTCAAGTTACAAAGGCTTTGCTTCTTTATATTATATAGGAAAATTTCCGTTCTTGATAATTGACTTCAACTTATGCAGGTGTCCAACTTACAAGGGTGGTCAACTTGACAGGTCTCACTGTACGTTAAATATATATTTAGATTCATTTTGTTAGGTTGCCTTAAGTTTTCACGATAAGTATTTATTTAGAATAATTTTGCATTTTTGTAGAAATAAAACCTTACTTAACCTTACCTGTATATATATATCGGCACGATAAGCACAGGTATTTCTCTATCCAAATTGGCAACACTATATTACTCATTTTGTTAAGATGTCTTAAGTAAAAATTTAAGTAGTACTGAATATTCGCGATCGCAACACTCGAATACGCCATCTGGGGAGAGACCGGTTTCATGCCTTTAGCCCTTCTCCCTTTCCTCTCCTCCTTTTTTCAGTTATATAGGAATGTACTACGATATTTTCCCTTTTCTTAATAGTTTTCCTTTTTATATAATAAAAATAATTTTTAAAATTTCCATGATACTTTTCTTTAGAACTATGTTTAATGTAGTTTTCAGTTCCATATAGTTTTTCAAGTTAAAAGATTTTAATCTATATGAAATTCAAGAGATAAACTAACGTACTTCCTTCCTCTATGACTTTCCACACGCTAATGGGGAAAGCATGTGAAGTGTTGCCATAGGAAAAGAGTTCTGCTCTACGCCACCTGCAGCCCATTTCGATCGCCAATTTAGTTGTATGTTAAGTAATTATTTAGATTTATTTTTAAATCATTAAAAAATGGTTATAGAAATTTTTAACATAAATTGTGCTATGGAGCTTGCTGCATACTGTCATACCAATTATGTGTGACGGCGCTTACCTTTTTCGAGCAATAGCCTATATAATAAATTACGATACTCTAGTTGCGTGTTGAGTATTTCTCAGTACAGGAAGTGGTACAGTACGTAATGAAACTTAGGGATACATTTTCTATCTTATCTCATGACAGAGATGGAAATAATTTTATACTTCTGCTGCCTACCATGTTAAAATGTCCCGAATTCTTACTTGAGATAGTTTGTGTGGTTTAATGATTAAGATTTGAAATTATTACCAAAATTCAATGCATAAAAAACTGCTGCAATATCTCGAACATTTCTTGAAAATACTTAGAATTGAAATCAAAACCAGACAACAGTGAAACAATTTGGTTAATATTTGAATTAAGGTGTTGGGATTGGAATTGAATTGAAGAATTAGAATGTTTAAATACAGTAGTGCTGTGCATTCGGCTTGGTTACAATTAAAGCTTATATGTTGTGCAAGATAATTTCGAAAGGTGACCATGCTAGGTGACAAAATCGGCTAATAAATAACAATTTCCGTATTCCTCATTTCGAGAGTGTAGCGCAATCGTGTGATGAGAGTATTGTCAAGAAAGTTCTAAGCAACAATTTTGAATAGAATTGAGATTTCGAAGATTTTATTTTAATCCCATTTAACTATACAACATTCATTTATTTTCTAAATATTTAAAATTTTACAGATTTCGTGATGCATGTAATTTGTGAAAAGGTCTTACAGTTTTTTTTTTAGAGAGAAAGAAGGTTCTACGTGAATTTCACTTTGATTATAAACACTCAACTAGTTATCTTAGAAAACCTTTTTTATAAGAACAAAATAAAATACTATTAGTATGTACAGTATGATGCAAGCAGTTTAAGTGAATGTTAAGGATTTATAGATTTCGCCAATCGGCAAGAGATAAAGGGAAGCCCAAATCTATATTTTCTATTTTCAACGTATAAACTATATCGATGAAAATACTTTGTAAAAAAGAAAGTAAATTTTTTCAAATTTACTTAAATATCAATTTTAAACCTTTACCCAATCAGCTCATCAACATTTAACTCTGAAAGATGTGGTTTATTTTTATTGTCTACGTGAATATAAATAATTGGAGGATTGGTAGTTTTCAGCGGTATAATTTTTTTTTTCAAATAAGGAGTAGTTTGACTTGCTGCAATGATTTATTGGTTAGCTTTAATTAAGGGTTAATTATTAAGAATTCTTGGTACATTTTAAAAATTAATTTTTCTTCCTTGCAACACTTATAACATTTAATAAAAAGGTCGTAGACGTGTATGATATATCTTATTAAATAATTGGCATCTTAAAGCACATACCAAACTTATGACAACAACAATGGATGCAGCGAAAGATAATATGAAATATGGCGTCGCATACTGGACCTGAAAAAAGAAAAGAATAATGTACATGTTTTATTTAATATTTATGTAAATGGTGATTTCAGCCAAGCTATATCAGAGAAACACTTAGAAAACAAAACACTGTTCTGACGATTCGCTTTATAAAACCAATTTAATTTTCAAGTTTTTTTTTTTCTCTTTTTCAAATTTCTCGAAGTAATTTTTTCGAAATATGTTTTATGAAATCTGCGTTTTTCAATTATTTATTTTTTAAAAATCTTTTCAAAAGTTGATTTTTTCAATTTTGTTTTTACTTCTGGAAACAAAAATAATAGTAATAGCTAAAATGTTTTATATTCAACATATAAAAACGAAATAGTGAAAATAAAATTTTTTAGCCGAAGACATTCTTAAAGCGACTTTTATCTAAAAATAACTGTAGTGTTATAATTTGAGTACACACTTCAAAAATTAACTTATTAAAAATTTATTAAAAGAACTTCTGAATTTTAAAATAGGTAACAAATAGCAATAATGCTTTTTACTTTTGTTCAATATTATTTTAAAACCCGTTTTTTTTTTTATAAATTATTTAAAGAATTTCCCATTGAATACCTGTAAATGACGTCACCGTAGGTTAATTGTTGCATGGTTAGACATAATCACTTTATTTCTTCTCAAGTTGAAAGTACCCGCGATTCGAGCAATGAATTAAAACTATAAGTTTATGGTATATTCGGCCACAATAGTGCATGTAAATATTTTCCATATAAAATAAATAATCTTGATCATGAAAAAAACAAAAACGTTTTATTATCCCGCATTTTAATAATAGGAAACAATTATAAATGACACAAAAATAAGCAAAAGAATTAAATTATGTACAATGTGAGCTTTCATCGATGAAGTAAAAAAAGAGTATCGATGTCATAACTTTAAAATTCCGTAACGATAAATTTACGACTAAGAGAAAAATTTAAAATTTTCATATTCACTATATGAATTCAAATATTTCTCATAAATAGAGAACATTTAAAAAAATAACATGAATTCAAATATTTTCCCATAAAAGAAAGAAAATATTTAAAAAAATAATCTGATGTTTATTATTATACTATGATTAAAATATTAGAAATTCATTTAGAAACATAACACTTTAGGAAAAAAAGATGGGAAATGAAAATATCNACTGTGGTTTAGTTGAATTTATTAATTGTTACAATTGACCCCGTAAGTGGGGACAATTGTAACAAGTGCACGACTGTCAAAAATTGTTAATAACTAATATAATAACATTTAAAATAAGGTTTTTTCTTTCTTTCTAGTAGAGGATAGTCTACTTTACTCGTCTGTCAAATAATACTAATAAGATATTGGATTTTTTGTTAATTGAAAATAGTTAAGTAAAAAATGTTACAATTGACCCCACTCTCCCCTATTATTTAGGCTCCAAAATCTCAAAGAAACAACTTCTTTTTTTTAATTGAAGACTTGGATTTCCCTGAAATAGTTTCCGGATTATACATTCAGATTGCTGCATTTTGATAATTTGTAGTTGCAAAATGAAGATGGCTTGAAAATTGCTTGAGAAATGCGTGAAAAATAACTTGAGAAATACATGAAAAATAAATTTAGACTTGCTTGATATTGATAAAATAAAAAACAGTCTAATAATCTAGATTTTTAAAACGAATGGTTAAAAATATCGATTCTCATTTGATGATTGCCATAACTTTTAGACACCCTCTCAATGTTTGTTCAGAGATAATAAAATATTACTTACCGTATCAGTGCAGAAGATTTTTCTTTTATCGCAAATTTTCAGCAACTTATAATCTGTGCCATTTGGAAATGCGAAATCTGTGAAAGAGGAAAAGAAATTGAAGTAGTTTTCCTTGCTGATTCATGGTATTTAAATAAAAAAATATAATAATCTATACAATAATTTTGCACTTAAGGTAATGTGAGAGTACTTACGAAATTGCTGAAGGTCAATGCATTCAGTTGGCTGCTCGCACATCATTTTTAAAACATAGAAGATGAAAACTACTATTACAAGACAACATGAAAAAGCCAGCCACACGAGATTTAAAAGGTAAGCCAGAGTCATGCACTGAAAATTAAACACAGTATTTAGTGAATTTTTTAAATATAATGGGCTTTCTTCACTAGTACTACTTGATTGAATAGTGACTCAATAGGCATCATGAGCCGTTATTTAATATTAAATTTACATTGCCTCTAATTACTTCAACATGCTATTTCAAAAACATCATCTTAAACGTTGAAAGCACAAAGAGTATAATTTTTTAAATTGGATTTTTTTTTGAAACAGTTATAAAAATTATTGTGTGAGGCCATTAAAATATTCTTTATAAGAATCGGAAATAATTTTAATTCGAATTCTATTGATACAATTGTAAATAAGAGAGTAACAATAAGGACTTCTTATCGCTAATTAAAGTAGTATATCAGGGAAATTAAATTTTTCTTTTTAAACTAAAGATTATATATATTTTAAATAATTCTTGGAAAAATTTAAGTATTTTACCACGAAGTTAAATGAACGTTTTTAGTACATTTTAAATATTAATTATGGTTGATTCATTGATTTATTAAAAAAAAAAATTAAAGTTAACCTTCATTCACATATTAATTACTGTTTACGTGTGAATTATTTTCTACTAATTATTTTTATATACATTTTTTAAAGTCATATTCTATATGGTGATATGAAGAGTTTATTAATGTTTAATTATTTTAATTTTCTTTGCTCATTTCAAAATTGATATATCAAAAAAATAATTAATCTCATTTTTCAAACAACTGCCAAATTTTCGGTATTATTTAAAGCTCTGTTTTCAAAAACTTTTCTTAGCACCATGGGACATAAAATATTTTAAATAATAAATAAAAACTGGACTGATTGCTTGATTGGTACTTGAATAGCGAATTTTCGTAAGACTCTACAAGAACTTCATTTTTTTTAATGACTAACATCTTTGTAATAACGTACAGATAGTACAATAACCTATTTTATGAATTGTGTATAGATTTTTGTAAATTTTTTTACATGGAGCAGGCGATAAAGCAAGTATTGACAAAAGAAGTTATTCTCACCAGAGCTGTCGTAATTCTTCCTCCAACACGGGACTTCCATCCTCTGTAAATTTTTGATCTTGTGGCTCCCGTTGAAAATATTCCGACCACTAGCAACGTTATTGCAAGAAGTCCCATGAAAGCACCAACAATGATAAATATGAGACGGACATCATTGAGCCTGAGAAGACAAACAAAAATTTCATTCATGACACTTAGTTGGATTTTATAACATCAAAAAAGTACTAAATAAGATAAAATCTATTTAAAAAAATTATAATTTGAAGATCTTCTCTGAAGAAAATTATTTTCCATTGGATTGTGCTTTGTTTTCTTTACTCTCGAATACCCTGTTTTAGCATTGATTTAGTTATTTAAAATATCACATATTAAATAATCTTGTTCTCTTGCTACTTTCTATTTAGCGCCATTTTTTAATTTTCAATACTATTGAGAATCTTTTCAGTTTTATTTTTTAAATTTATCATTTTTATTCCTGCTAACGCTTAGTACATAAATTCGAAGTTTCGTTTAATCTTCAGACAGGTTTGTTTTGTTACAGAAAAAAGTGCAAATGGTTTTAAAAGAATTTATTCTCATAGTCATTTATATTTCATTTTGTCAGAATAGTTTTTTCTTTCTTCTCTCAATTGTCTTTCTCTTGTGTTTGAGAAAAATCGTTTTCAGTTGCTTACTATTATCGGTTTTACAATTCATGCCGAATTTTTGAGAGTTTAACTTACAAGGGAAACTAGGGAAGTGTGACTCGCCAATTTTGAACTAAACTGGTGGGATGTATGCCTTATAAGGAATAATTTTAGGGGGCAACATTCGTTTCGGCCCATAGAAGGTCCTGTGAGAGATAAAAAATAATTCAATATATAGAAAAATCGGTATTTTATTACTTCAATGCAGACTATTAGTTATTGTAATTNCTTTTTGTTCATTTTAATTTTTGAAGTAATATGATTCTTAAAACTATGGAATGTAAAGTTTAAATAGGCCTTTCATGTTATATCATTAAATTTAGTACAACTATTTCTCGGGCATTAGGTTTTAACTCTTATAAGAATATGCTTATTTTTTTCTGTTAATGTGCAAATATTTTTCCGATGTGCTTTGGATGTTCCTTCTCTAAAAAAAGGAGATACCATTTTGTTTTCGTTTGCATAAGAAAGGATATTAATCATTTTTCTTTTTTAAATTTAATTAGCCACAATAAAGAAGGAACGTTGCAATGCTACATGCTACATTAACGACGTCTCTAGAGTAACTGAATGACGGTTCATGTAGAAATCGCAGGTAAGCGTCTCATACAACAACGCCCCCTATAGTTCGTTGCGATCGCGAATAGTCATTTATGTTTCATTTTGCCAGAATTGTTTTTTCTTTCTTCTCTCAACTGTCTTTTTCTTGTGTTTGAGAAAAATCGTTTTCAGTTGCTAACTATAATCGGTTTTACAATTCATGCCGAATTTTTTAGAGTTTAACTTAGCTTAGCGCCCTTTCAGCAGTGCAGCTTGTTGCACTTCAGTATTTACCGTATGCTAGTCCGAAAATAAAAAAAATTCTTATTTTTCTAATACATACTCTCCAACTACTTCGAAATTTGCATAAATATTATTATATATACTAAAAATTATTGCTATATTGTTCCTTGTGGGAACAAAGGTAAAGTAATAATATTTCAGTAAATTAGAATTAAAGCATAGAATTAGATGCTTGAATTAGATCTATAGAAGACTAACAGACCACGTTCTTAATGTTTGATTAATCTTTTATAGAATTTTCATTTGTTATAAAATGTCTAGATTAGTTCGTTTCTCAGTAGAAAATATATTAAGCTCAAACCTCAAATTTTTAAGAAAGTGTTAATGCAAATCATATTTCTTAAAACAGTTAAATGTAAGGTTTGAAAAATTGGAACAAAACAAAAACAGGAAACCGATAGCTAATCACGCATTGTTTAGTTTACGTTGTACTTAATAGTTTTAACTTTTATCTCGAATATTTAATAAAGTAATAAGTGTAAAGGCAAATGGTCTTATTTGTTCTGCTTTAATAACCGAAAATAATAAAAAAATGTTTTGTTAACACTTTTTTAGAAAGGACAATTTGCGATATTCTGATAATTTCTCATAATCTTGATATGAAATTTAAAAAGTTTTTTCGAAAATATGCTTGCGTTCGCAAATCGAGAAGACATTTAAATATACAATTTTTTTCGAAATAGAAACTAAGAAAATGAAATACTATTACATTTTAATCATTCGTTGAACTGCCTGAAGAATTTGCAGTTTTTTGCCTTTTTATTTATAGTTTTCGAAAGTTATGTAACTCCAAATGAAATTATCAAAAGCTATTCCGCAAGTTTAGGGATTAATTCAACAGACAGTCTATGCTGAACAGTATATTTTCGTTACATTTTGAAAGATTTTAGCCGTGAGTTAAATTATTGTATTAGAATATTTAAGTGGTCTAAAACGAGATATAAAACAGATATTCACTTCTGTAAACAACGGTGAAAATCATAAATGAATAAAATCCGAAAAACCAATTAAAATATTACCATTCCAAATCATAAATGAAAACAGTTTCGAACATGTCTAGTGTCAGTCTTACGGCAGGATAAAGGCATATTAAAAATGTCAGTACTCCAGCACAGCATAAAATTGTGGCAATTAAGGTACCGTAAGGTACCCTTGTCATACATTTTGAGCACCCTCCTAAATAAAAAAGAAATAGAGTAAATAATTTTATAATTTTATTTCTAATTCTATCTATCTATATATATATGTAATACAAAAATTATAAATACTTTTGTATTAATAACAACATTAAAACTCTTTCGTTTTCATAAAATGTCTTTGGTAAAGAATAGGTGTAGAAATTCTATTTTGGGACTTCAAGGCTAAAAACATACCATTGAATTATAATTACATTTATATTTCAAAGGAGGAGTTATTTTTAGAGTCTTGTCCCTCTTTCACTTCCATATAAGGAAGTATTAAATGATTTTCCATAATGCGTAGAGTTACAAGGTATGTACGATTTGAGCCTGTTTACATCAATTTCTATTTGTATTTAATGCGAGAGCCATGGTTTTCGCATGTCTCTTGCTGATGAACGTGTTTCATAAAAGATCTGCCGGAACCATCCGGAGTTTTGTCCACACCCCCTCCCTTGTGGATGTGAACTGTTATAACCACTAACCTACCTTAAAATAAACCTTTTGAGAACTTATTACGGCTTACGACTGAATTATTAAAGGTGAATGCAACAATGATAACAGGGATGTGGCCCTGTTATTATAAGCCGGCAGGATATTAGCTTCGCTGAGAAAACCCTTCGGAGGAAACTATTACTTATTTCAATCAAGTTGAATCTTAAGCTTAGCTAGTGCTGAATCGCCGAAGGTTTTCATCCCTGACACCGGGAAAAAGTGAAAAGGATGATTCCACCTGTTGTGGGAATTGGTACATTTTCGTTTTTTCGGTAAAATATTTCCCTCCTGAAAAAATAAAATTGCATCTTGTTTTGTTTTTGGCAAATCCCAAAGACGAATATTCGTAGCACTAAAAATGNAGATTTTGGGAGCATTCAACATTGTGTAATTGTTTTTAACTTTAGTATAAATTCCGACTTTATGGTACTTGCTTCGGAAACTGGGTTTAGCAGCTGGCTAATATCCTTAAATCTTTCACAATTCTAGAGACTTTGTTCAATAATAAGAGTTAAAATAGGACTCTTGCACATGAAATCTTTTTTCCCCCTAATTAATCTTATGAAATGCCTTAATGTCCAAAGAAGGCTAAGGTTATTATTGTAAAATATCTAAGCGGAATATTTATTTATGTATATATATATATATATATATAAATGAATTGTGTGTGGTAGACACTTAAACCACCCGACCAAAGGAGATGAAATTTGGCATACAGATAGTTCTAAGCACGAGGAAGGTTGACATTAGAACATTCTACGAAGAACCGTTCGAGCGGGATGAGCGAAAAGTGAAAAGGAATTTTCTGGTTAGTTGAGCGTTTGCCATCGCTTTAAATTTAAATATAGACGATTCAATTTTTAAATATTTTAAAGATAATGCCAGTAATATTTGCTTGCTTATAGCTCGATTTGATAAAAATAGTTTATTTCATGTACTTAAATAATTAATTATTTTCTATCCACTATGTCAGAGGAATTTAATGAACAGCATTAACACGGTAGCATTCGTGGACTACGTGATCAAATTATTATTCCAAAAGTTATCAGATACCACATGTTTGCTTTGTTTAAAGTATTCTTTAAAACGGTGTTTCTATAAAAGTAAATAATTTAAAATCAACGGTAATTAAAATGAAAAAAAATTGTGACTTTAAAGGCAAAATTAATGGAAAAGTGGTAGTGATTCACTAAGGAGAAACGTAAATTTAACTACTAATATTGACTGCAATGATTCTGAATTAATTTTGGTAATATATGCATATTGAAATAAGTTACGTACTAAAAATCGTACAAAAAATCTCAAATTTAATGAAGTAAAGGCACTTATTCGTTTAGAGGAAACGTAAAAAATTACCATATTGTTATTGACGACAATGAAATTGAAATTGTTAAATTTAAATTATGAAATAACCCATCTACTTAAAACCAAAAAAAAAAAAAAATAATAGTTAGCCGTTTTGGGAATATTGTTCGCACATATTATAAATTGTAACTCTTAATTATTATAAATAATATGTATTAGTTGAAATAAAAAAATAAGCTATGTGCTAAAAAGCAAAGTTTAAGGAGAAAAGATTAATTGGAAATTTATTTAGCGGAACCGTAGAAAATCGCCATACACCGATGACGTTTAATTAATTTCGGTAACATGGTATATTGGAAGCTATAATCAGGGGAAACAAATGCGCCTCCGAATTCATTTATTACCAACTTATTAGAAGCTGATACTAATAATGCTTTGCGTTGAAAGGTGAAATATCAATAAAGCAATTAATGTGATCGAAATTTGGGCTCTTTTTATATTTGAGTCCGAGGAACTCCGTTAAAGTGTAGTATGGTTTTTCTACAGTGTGTTTAAATACTTGCGTATAATTCTCAACAAGTATATAGTGTGACGTTAAAAGATGACATCGTATATTATGTCGAAGAAACATAATCGTTATATGTAGGTTTTGATGCATATTTAAATAGATAAAAATAGTCAAAGGGATAATGTATGGTTGATTAGAGTGTTTTATAAATCTAAGGCTAACAGGATGGGTAAACATCAACAAAAAAACTTAACTTCAAGCAATTGTCCGTTGCAATCTCAGTTTAAAACATTTCTAATAAACAGCCCATAATAACAGTATCATTATCGCGTGAAGTAATCTTAAAAATCTTTCCTAATGTTTTTACTAAAGGTTGCCTACAAGCATGTGAAGACAATTTAGAGTCCTGTATTAAATACCTAAAGAAGATATCTGGTTTAAAACATAAACATTTAAAATAATACTGTGCACATACTGCTGGATTTTTTTTCAGTGTAAGGAGCATCTTAGCCCATCAATGCCGAAGAAGGATTCAAGCAAAGCAGACACTTTTCGACAGTAAATTTATCTTTCAAAGTCTAAAGACAAAATGACAAAAGTTAAAACACCGACTGTTAAATCAGATTTATCTAACTGGGTGAATGCTCCTGAATTCGTGTCTAAGACTATTAACGTACACATTGAAGATCGCAGTCTTCACTCACCGCGAAGAGATAAAATGTCTACTTTTGGTCCAGATTTACTTAATTGGGTGCATGCACCTGAATTTTTGCCTAAAACCATTAACTCGCAGGTCGAGGATCATAATCTTGATTCACTAAGAATAGTTCAAAAATCTACATGCAGTCCAGTTTTACCTAATTGGATAAATGCCCCTGAATTTGTGCCAATAAATAACAATTTACGAGCCAAAGTTCGACATCATCACTCCACGAGGAAAGATAAAGTATCCAAACTGGGTCCAGATTCACTAAACTGGATAAATGCATCTGAATTTGTGCCCAACAACACTAACTTACGAGCTAAAGACCTAAGTATTCACCATTTCATGATAAAAGATAAAATATCTACTTGTGGCCCAGAATCAACTAACTGGGTTAATGCACCTGAATTCGTACCAAAGACCAAGAAATCGTTTGCCGATACTCTGAAACCAATTGTTTGTGGTACTACTAAGTTAAAACCGCAAAAATTGGACATGGAATTGTGTATACATTTCTTTGAAGGTAAGTGTCTATACAATGAAGAATGTCCATGCATTCACGGAGATTTGTGTGAACTGTGTCGGAAATATTGCCTGAATCCTTTTGATGAGAAGAAGCGGAAATATCATATTGAATACTGCGAAAAAGAACTTGAGCTAGATATGGAACTGTCATTTGCCATTCAACGTAGCTTGGATAAAACATGTGGTATATGTATGGATGTTATAATGGAAAAAGATCCAGCAGGTGAACGTCGATTTGGAATCCTTGAAAAATGTAATCACGTGTTTTGTTTATCCTGTATCAGAAAGTGGAGAAGTGTAAAAACATTTGAATCTGTTCAACATGTTAACCATCTATTAAATCCCGCTGTCAACCGCGCTTGCCCGGAATGTAGAGTATCATCTGGCTTCATCACACCTAGTCGATATTGGGTTGATACAGAAGAAGAAAAGAAAAAGTTAATTGCTGACTATAAAATGGCCTTAGGCAAAAAACCTTGTAAATATTTTAAGAGAGGTAAAGGAACCTGTCCTTTTGGTGGAGCTTGCTTCTATCTACACGCAAAGCCCGATGGTACAAAAGTAGATTTACCCCAACCTTCCAGGAGGCGACGACAAAATCAAAATGGCGAAATTGATTTCATGAATACAGTTACCTTGTGGGATTATTTGGAAGTAAGAGATACATTTGTATCTAGATAGACTTGTCTACGTTATGTTTTATTATAAATCTGAGTCAAATAAATCTTTACGAGGGAATCGTTTTAAATTTTGTCAACTGTTGAATATAGTATTCTACTACAAGGCAGAAGATTTAACTTAACTAGAACTGCTTACAAAAACATACTATTTTATTTTAAGAAAAATTTCTGTTTCACGCAATATATAATATATTTTTGTAGGGAATTTTTATGGCTGGTGTGAATAAAATGCTTATTTAAAATATGGTACATAATAACTAATATCAATATACTTGAATGAGTACATAGCATATCATCATTGGGCATTGTTATAATTCGAAAGCAAAGTGAAACGACATAGTTAGCGAAATATTGAAGAATTAGAGAAAAAACAACTTTAAGAATGGAAACATCAGGAAGCTGTTTCGAAAATGTATTTTTCTTAGGAAAGATAACTTATTCAAACACTTGGTGGAATAAGTGAATGTTCCAAATGAATGTCCAACTATAGTATATGTAATCTTTAATTATGAAATTTGTGAGCATATCTAAAAAGTAACTTAAAAATTTTTTCTTGTAAATTTAGTTCATTTGTTGATAAAATCAGCGAGATATAAAGTCCATTCGTCTACAACCAAGCTCACTGGGTAGACAATTAGTCACACCAAGAAAAAAAAACATGGAAAGCATTGTTTAAAATACTCTAACTGTGCTTCTAGTATTGATAACCGGCTGGATTCAGCTGGAAAATATGTCCATAAGACTTAACAAGTTCGTCACATCCAGTTTAAGGCTGATGCAGTTTAAAATGATCCAATGGCTCTCTTGTTACATGAAATATTGCTTTTTAGCGAACAATATGCTATTTTCAAAAATGTTGATAAATTGTTACAGTTATTCATAACTATTAGGTTGAGCATTACCTGTCTTAAAAAATGCTGAGAATTACGCAAAACGTTAATATAAAGAAATTCTGTAGTTTCATGAAAATGAAATCATTTTTGATCAATTTTTTTAATATTTCAAAAGTTAATCCAAAACTGTAAAGTTAGGACTTGTAAAAATCTGCAAAAATTCCGAATTATTTATTGATTTTAATAATTTTTATTTACGGGGAAATATTTCACCAAAATGGAAATTTTTTTTAAAAAAAAGTTTATAATTTTTCAAGTGTTTAAGCTATTAATTTTAATACTTTGCTCTTTATTGCTTAATATTAGTTTGCTATCCCTAAGTATGTATTTTTGACTTCATTTTTTACAAGGATTCCAAATATAGACAATGAGATTACTGATGCTCAGATCCGCTTTCTTAACTTTCGATAGGCAGGATCTATAGCTTCAGAATGAATGCTTGGAAATTGTACAGTGGCTATGCTCTATGAAATGATATTACTTACAGCGTCACTTGATGAAAACTTACGGTGTTAGCATTTTTAAACGTACTAAGAAGAAACAATAAGCAAACATTCGAATCCACTTTCATAGTTTTAAAGTGGATGCCTTCAAGAACTTATCTGATATTTGTTAGATTAGTAAGAGGATAAGTAACAACAACGGAACTTTACTGAAACCTTTTGCATAAAATTGCAATCTTTTTTAATTTATATATTTTTCAAAACATTGCGCAACAGATTTTTTTAGCTGGAGTCGGATAATTAAAAGCGTTAAACAAGAGAAATAAAATATTCAGAAACGGTATGAATGATGATTCTGTACAATGGTTACAAACCTGAAGAGAAGGTAGAAAGTATCATAAGGATTGAGAATGTCGTCATGTGCCGGTAGGAGCGCTTCCTCTTTATAGACTGGCTGTTCGTATTCATTTGAGACAGTACTTATATTTATCTAAAATACTTGAATTTGAGACTAACTTTATATTTTTTTAAAAATTATTCTTAAAAATTGGTTTAAAATATGCTAGGAAATAACTGTTTTAATGTTATTTAAAGATTTAGTGACTTAAGGAGTTTGACAAATTAGTCATCAAATCATTCGACTACGTAAAATTTCTATTTCTGGACATATTTCAATGCAATTTTTAGCAATAATATATAAAATTAACATGGGATCTAGATGTTTTTAATAAATAAGAGAAAAATCTAGCGTTTCAAATGCACATGATTAGCCAGTTCGTAACTGGGAGGCACTTCTAGTTGCGTTCGATGATATTTCCGAACATGGTTTGCTATGCAATCCTCAATTCTCATGCAAAGCTCTCCTGAATTCTCTTTACTTTAGTAACAGCTCTACTGAATCACTCTGTAGAATGCGTGAAAACCGAAACGTTCTAAGCAGATTATTTAGGGCATGTATGATGGCGAGTAAAACTTTGAGGGTGATTATAAATGGTAAATGGTGTAAGTTCTAGGTATGTGCAGAAAATATTTTTGTTACTTTTCATCAGTTGCATATTTTAACGTTCTTCAATTTCAAACTTAAACATTACAAAAATGTATAAATTGCCTTAAAGTTGCTACAAATTGCTAGTCAGAAAATGTGGCAGTTTTGGAAATAAAGCATAACATGAATTCAATATTATAAAAAGAGTAAATATTTCATTGAGAACTATGATTTGACATAAGAAAATGTTCTTTTCTGTATTTTAAGTATATAACAATGCCTAAAAGAATGAAAAAAATGACCAATATCACAGATAATGCTACATATAGAGCTATATCTCTTTCTTTCTGTAAATCTTTTCTCACACAGTTTCCCAATCCATCGCAATAGAAACTCTCATTGTAGCAACTAGTCCCGATTTTGTGATAGTATTCGTTCCCAGATGAATCAAATAGCCCAAGAACTGACGCCGGTAAACATGACTCTTGATTTTCGCAACACATGACGCATATTTCCTTTATATCTCGTGAGCAAGTACAATCTGAATATCCATGTGATTCACAAATGGAAATGTTGTCATTATTTCCAGTGTGTGTTGATTGTTTGATGCCGCAGGAATAAGAGGACTCATCTATTACGGGAGGAAGGCAAACAGGATTAATTCCATCACAAAAACTTTTCAAGCACAAAAAATTGTCAACATAGCACGGCATTTTCGTATCTTTCACTATAGTGCAATTTTCCAAGCAACAGTCACTCTCTTTCCTGCTGCATTCAAAACTGGCACCAGATTTTATGGTGCAACCAATTTCTGGAAGTTTGACATCCATAGGGTTGCAACAAGGATCCATAAATTCACAAATCGAGCTCCAACCACAGTCGCATTCTTCTTCGCCCTCTCTGATTAAGTTCCCACAGATACTATCTCTTTCTTTTAGGCAGATACCCTTTACTTTGATAATTGCCGACATTTCTGCTCGACTGCAAGGGGAGAATTCAAAATTTTTCGAACCTGGCATCACACGCTCGCTCATTATGTGTCCCTCAAATGAGCAAGCATTGAAATGGGGTGGGTCATGATCACTTCCGAAGTTATGACCTAGCTCATGAGTAAACGCAAGCAATGAAACAGCTAGCGGTAACATTTCATCACGATTCACATAAAGATTTATAACACCAGTATTGAAATGTAGGAGTGTGTTGTTTGGCGTTACTTTCGGATCATCGCATATCCCTCCTATTACACCAATTAGTCCTAAATCTGGCTTGAATGCTTCCCCAATAACGTAGCCAGAAAAATTTTGGTAAGTAAAAGCGAAGGAGAGACAGAATTGCTCCTCTTGCTTTCTTTTGACCAATCGCAACAGATAGTCTGTTATTCCACTCGCGTTAAGCATGGGATAGTTGCTCTCAAAAGGAGTTTTATAAATCGAAATTTTCTTAACTGTAATTCTTATACCATCAGGTTTGCCATCAAAGTCAAAGTCAGTTTTTCTGAAAATTTTGTCAGCATATTTGGCATGATAATATAAGTAGGCAGATAATCGTTCAGTATCTTTTTGGAAAAATTCATATAATTTATGGTCTGCAACAATTTCCAGTTCGCAAAACATATCACGCAGTTTGTAAACTAAACCCAAAACACGAGGAGCCGAATGAAGGGTAAAATTTGCTGTACGATATGAGACTTTCAAGGGTTGCCGAGAAAAAGACGTCACATTCTCTGAATGGTTTCCTTCAATGGTTATTAGGTTTTGAATGTTATAGAAAATAGCTTTTTGAGAGCCACTCGTATTTCTAGCGAAAGTTTGAATTGGTTCGATGATAAACATATCCTCACCATCAAAAATATTACCAGAAAAAACTCCATCATAAAGATAACCTATAACGTAGGAAAAAAGCGAGCGATTTTTCACAAAACCCTCATAAATCGTCGTAACGTTGCAATAATTTTTGGTAAACTCTCCAAATTGGTAGGCTTCAATTGGAATTGTGCGAAATAAATCATCTTCATATAACAATAAGGTAAACTCTCTCTTGGCAGTTTTTATGTGAATTTCAGTGCTTTTCCGGTGGAATTTTAAATTCCTTACTTCATGTTCGGAAAATTCATTTTCACCATTTTCAGTCCTTATTACGTATTCAGCGAACTCGTAATTTTTTATATGATCATTGATATTGAATTCACTAATGGAAACATGGACCTGTAGAATTATTATTAAGATAGTCAACGGAAAATTCATTTATCGGAGCAAATGTATAAGTAAAATGTTATACTCGCAGATGTATAAATATGAAAAAGAAAATATAAACATTGCAGCCTGTTGCCAATATTACGAAATAAAGTTAAACGTCAAAATTTCTTTCTCCGACGGAAATGGCAACGGTATTAAAGTATTATATATATATATANCAGTTTTCCCTCATTCATTTCCATATTGTTTTGGTTGTCATCAGCACAAAATTAACAATAGTCGCAAAAGTATTTTTTTTCTTAAATATTTTTGTATCCCTAATTTAAACTTATTTTCCAGTAGTGCTACTATTAGCGAGAGTATTAAATTATGGTTGTGAACTTATCAAATTTGTTTGAACAATACAATGCTATAAGAACATAAATGTTATTTTTAAAAATGATTACTTCGAAAAATAACTTCCTTTCACTAAAAGGTCTAATATTTGGGTAAAGTAATATTTGAGAGTAAAATTTAGACGTGGGAAGTAGAGGCACAAGAGTAAGCAAACAGAATTCCTTTTAGTACATACATGTTAAGTGAATAATTTTAACTTTAATAGAAAAATTGTTTTCTGCCAAGAAAAGACAATTATTGCGAAGCAATAATCGGGGTTTGGTGAGCGGCAGCGAACAGGGGGCTTAGCCCCCTAGCATATATATATATATAATGTCAAACTGATTGCTTCATCAGATTGTCTTTTATGTAAATCCGGGACAAGCCATGACTGCTGCGCATTTGGACACGTGATCTGCACTAAAAGACTTTGACTATATTGTTAAGAAGTACTGGAGAGCTAGAAGTCTAATAGTCAATGGCTGGCATTTGTTTGATAATTTCAAGAAATGTGAAGAAAAAAACTTTAGGTTGCATGAAGCAATTAATTCAATGAATACAACTTAGACATTTCATTTTGTTATGCAAAAAAGTGCTAAATAAAACAAACATTGATATTTATGTTTTGTTTTAGATTGTTTTACGTATGTATCTATGGATTGCAAGTATCATAAATATACTTTGTTTTAACTCAGTATATTTACTCAGTGAATTTAATCACAACATAAGAAGATATGAAGTTACTAATTTTCATAAAACTTTTTCAAATGTAAAAAAAAATTCAAATTTTAACGACTCTCAACCAGAATCACTTAAATATACAGCCGACATTGAAATCACGTTCCAGTTATTTAACAAGAGCTTTGATTTAATTTTTTATGAAGATTTAAGGTTCCGAGAGATAGTTTCAAGAGATCAATCTAACAATAGCGTGAAATTTTACGAAGGCTTCTTACGAGAAAAACCACACCATTCATTTGCTACCGGCTACTTAAGACATGATGATCTTACAGCCTTAATGGAAGTGGATAATAGCACTTATTACATCGAACCTGCGTGTTATTTTCTAAATAATCTGAATTACACTGGTCAGATAGTGGTTTACAAAGATGAAGACGTTATAGATATGGAGAAGTATGGACCTTATAGGAATTATTCGAAACATACATTTTGGGACATATCTCGCAAAAGAAATTCTGATTTATTTTCCTCGGGCATCAATGAAGCTGATTACCTAAAAATAAACCGCTCTTGTCATATTGAAATGGTGGCGGATCACACATTATACCAATTCTTTAGACAGGATGAAGATTTTGTTAAAGGTTTTCTATATTTTCACGCAAAATATACTGACAACATTTTTCGACGAACCGATTTTAATGGAGACGGGGAACCAGATAACATTCGCATAATAGTAAAAAGCATTACTGTGTATAAGAGTATCTATGATCCTAATTATCCGATGGCGTTAGCAAAAGACTTAAAATCATTTTTAACTGAATTTACGGAGAGAACCCAATATTATTGCCTTTCAGTAGCCATGTGTTTTCGAAGAGACTTGTCATCTCCTGTAATTGGTCAAGCTTTTAAACCAGGTCTTTCACCAAGACGTACACCAGGAGGAATATGCCAGAAGCCTCTAGTGTATTTTAATACCCACAGATCCCTTAATACTGCTGTAGTGACAGTCAAATCTTCGCGAACCAAAGCTTTGCCCTTGATAACTACTTTGTTAGCCATAGCACACGAAATAGGGCACTCCTTTGGAAGTGAACACGATCCATTAAATGATTTGGCTTGTTCACCAGGAGGAGCGGGTGGATTTTACCTCATGTACCCGAATTCCGTCTCCACTATAAAGCCCAGAAACGCTTATTTTTCTCCTTGTAGTGAAAACGAAATTTATCACACCATGTTGAGCAGGGGTGAGTGCTTAAAAGAATATCAACAAATCTGTGGAAATGGTTTTAGAGAAGGAACGGAAGAGTGTGATTGCGGAGTGTCAAAAACTTGTGACATCTTAGATCGTTGTTGCATTCCATCTGATGCCAAACCGCCCGAGAAGGGATGTACTTTCCGACGCCAAAGTGGATCACAGTGCAGTCCTCGAGAAAACCCATGCTGTTCAATCGAGTGTACAGTAGAAAGAAACACAAATAAAAGATGCTTTTATAATGATAAGTCATGCCATATAAGTTACTGTGATGGTGTGAATGCAATTTGCCCCAAACCCGTGAGCGCTCCAGATAAATATCCATGTCACGAGGTTTCAAAAACCTGCAACAAAGGTTCTTGCAATAGCACAGTTTGTTTGGATAATGGACTTAAGAACTGCATTTGCAGTGATCTCTATTACGAATGCGCAATATGTTGCATGAAAAATAATGTATGTTCTCCTGCATATTATTTAGGACTAGTGACTGTTTCTGGTGATAAATTTGTAGCTGTTGAAGGCTCTCGGTGCAATTCTAATCGATTTCAGTGTGATAGTGAAGGTAATTGTGTAAATGCTAATTTGAGAGTAAATAAGAAAGACAGAAAATACAACATTGAAACTCCTAAGTGGTGGGTTGTGGCAACTCTAATTGTAGTCATCTTATTGATTGTAATACCCACTATTTGTTATCTTTTGAGACAGCATATTATTCAGCGGTGAAGGAGAGTAAATAGACTTTCACCTATGTATATAGTCATTAGACATTTATAAGAGTATTAATATTATTTTTTGTTATTGTTGAAATCATTGTAAGATTTTTTTTGTAAAGAAAACTTTTTGAATTTACATCAAAGAAGTAAAAGTAAAAAACAAAAACTCATAATTTTTGAATAAAATTTGCAATAAATATTTTCCTTGTTACTTGATAAAGCATTTTATTATTATTGAAACTTGCTTTGAATCTTTGAATGTTTAAATACTTTTTTATTAGATTTCTGTATTTTATTCCGAATAAATTGAAAGCAATTTAGTGACAGGTTACAAATGGATACTTTACTTTTAAAAAGAAAACGAGATGATTTGACTTCAAAATTATAAATCTCACACATTGTGGTAAAATAAGTTTTATTTTCTTAACTATAGCACATTAATGTTGACTGCGTAAGCAGTATATATACGTTCATCGCTATTGTGAATAAAGATACAAGGGGTATGCATCTCAAAATCCATCAATCCATCCAAACGGGTGTTCCATATCAACCGCTCTCAATATACGGGAAGCAGAGGTCTCAGTAATGTCGAATTAATTATGATAAACTTTCCAATCACAAAATCAATTTACTTTTATTTAAAAGAAATTTCTATATGTTTATTTTATAAAGTTTTTTGGGTCTTCTGAAATCAGTTTAAAATCGGTTACGGAATAGAACATTAAAAGCTAAAGCATACACCCAATCTGTAGGTCGATTGTTAGCTGCTTGTGCTATGCATATTCGTACAAAAACTCTCAAATACAATTAAATTAACAAATCGGGACATTTTTTAACATTTGACCTAACAAATATTTGTTACTAAAAAGTCAGATTGGCTGAACTATTTTAACTATTGTAACTCAACAAAATTTTACTGTTTCTTTCTACGTATAGAAGTATAACCCAAATATTACCTAAAATGATTTTTTTATTCTAAAGTAACCTACGAAAAAATATATGAGGAAAATACATGTAAATATATTACATATACATGTAAATACATGTAAAATATATTCAAAATATAAAATGCTACAACTGCAAATGGGCTGTGACGTTAAACTTTTTCTCATTTTCTTCATGGGCCGGTATTAAAAAAAGTTTAAAAAAATCTCATATAAAATAATCGTTCTTGTAAAATTTGTGAAGCATTTTCTTTTTTATTTTACTTCTCTTCAGATGGTAAACTTTCCGTAAATAAGATAAAGATTGCACAACTTTAGCTATTTCTTTTTGAAAAATCTTTGAAGTTGCTGATAGCGAAGAAAATGTTATCGCATTTCTTTTTTATTCATATCCTTCATAAGTAGTATTCGTTGCTTTTTGCTTTATCTCCTAAAACGGAACAAATAATTTCCTGCAAGATAGCAATTCGAGAGAAAGAGAGAGAGTAAGAGAGTCTGATATTTCACGAAGATTAAATAATTAAATCAATGAAGTTTAATCACTCTAAAATACAAAAATTTTATACACATTTCTTTCGATGAGATGACTACATATTTTCCTCTTTGTTATTATTTGTAAAAAGAAAAAGAAAAGTGCAGCTATTTTCTCTGAAATTGTTTTCAACTGACAATATAAAAAATGTATGAAACTGCTACATCTAAAAGTCAATATCGCCAATCATTTCGTACTTAATTTTCAAACCCGAAATATTAAGAAGCTTTTTTTTCTGTACCGTAGACCGGTTTTACTTAGTTCGGAATACTGGTTACAGGTTTTACATATAATAGTCAGAGAAACAAAATGCGTTATTTGAAAAATAACACAATGTCGCCGTTTTTTCTATGTGGTAGATGGAAAAGTCTCCAATAATTCTAATTAGTTGATAATTTTCAGGCTTATCGCAATAAATCCTATATGCTTTTAGGATAATTAAAAATAAACGAAGATTTATTCAATGAAAATTTTGCTCAAGGTTATTATAATTAGTTTCGTTTTATGAAGGTGCTGAGAGAGAAGTACAGTGAATCTGACTAATTGAATGATATATTTTTTAAATGAACTTACAGTTCTTAAACGAGCTAATTCCAAAGAGCCTGAAATAAATCAAGCTGATAGAGAAATTATTTGAGGAATTTCCTGTGCTCTGGTGGCGCAATCGGTTAAGGCGTCGTTT